CAGATTTTTAAAATTTGAAATTGGAGATTAAATAGCACTGAATAGAGAAGCTACTCTGTGAAAAAAACAGGAAATTTAAGAAAAAGAGTTTCCAAATAAACAGCACCGTCACTCATTTATTCATGATGTCCTTACACCATGGCCACTCTACCACGAACATGACAAACATGGGAGCCCAGCGGACGAGGAACCCCATGGTTCTTGGGGCCATACATGTAGGCCCAAAGGCCTAAAGTAGTCAGTCCAATTAACTAGAACTCCACAAATCGTCGCTTTCAACATTTGGATGTTGTCAGCGATAGGGTAGAATCTTCCATAGGCAGATACATGTAGGCCTTGTTCTGTCATGTGTACAATGAATTGATCTCACTCCAAATAAAATAGCTCTCACTCCGAATCAAAATCCTTAGATCTCGCCCCAAAACAGTCATGAAACTGTCCAATGCACCCATTGTCATGGCTGTAGGATTCAATTTCATTGGGAATTTGAGATTCCAGTGACGGTGATAAAGTTTACTTAGGCCTAGGCCTAACAGCCGGACAGAAATTAAGATACATGTATTATTTTCCATTTAAAGTGGAAATGCGCTTGGTTCACGTGTCAGGTGGGTGCAGGTGTATTCAGTAGGCTAGTTGGAGAAAGCACTGTCAGTATACATCAGCCAGTAAACAAAATTGGCACACTGTAAATGCGCGGCTACCATTAATTTAATGTTACCGTTATCTTTCCCCTTCAGATCAAGAAAGCCTACAGGAAGAAAGCGCTGACCTGCCATCCTGACAAAAATCCAGACAACCCCAGAGCAGGTCAGAGGTCAAGCCCAGCCCCCATGCCCTAGCCCCATCTCCACTCACCCAGAACTTCAACAATCGTTAACCAGCACTGTCACAGCTGACGTTATGAGCTGAATTGAGTGCTGTTTATGTTTAAGTACACATAGAAATTTTCAGGTTGCATATTATAAACTCAGTTGACTCTCAAAATTAAAAGGAATATCACAACAAACTATTGTTATAAAGACAAAACCATGAAGTCTCTCGTCTCTTGAACTCTTATTTTTTATTAGTTTTCCAGTCCTTTATAGCAAGATTCTTTTCACATGTGAAGCGAGTTGCTAGATCCCCACGAAGTAGTGAGAAGTAACAGTTAACTATACACGTACACGTACAAGTTGTAATAGGCCTTAGAGTTTGCTGGAGTACAGTTGCTGCTTGGTTCATGTACATGCATGTCTTATCTGTTTTTCCCTGTGGTTTTCCCAGCAGCTAAGGAATGGGAGGAATTGTCCAAAGCCCTCGAGATTCTCGCAGACTCCGAAGCAAGGGTAAGTTTTGAAAACACCATACTTGCCATATATACAGTTACAGGTACCATAAGTGTGCTAATTTTTTTTTCTGTATTTGAGGCGAACAGTAAATTTAAGGCTGGGCGTGTAGCTATGGACTGAGTCACTTTGAATAATTGAATTTTCTGCTTTTCATTCATTCAACATTTCTAATATTCTGTTTTACTAAATTCCCACAACAGTAGAAACAAAACATACCCATTTTTGCAAAAGGCTACAGAAAACTTGAAGGAACGGCAGTTTTTGGCCTTCTTGTTGGGTACATGTATGCATTAATATGTGTTAGGGTTAGGGTTACATGTATGTGGTTTGGTCAGCTCCTTTAACTTTACTTGTAACTCCTTAAGATGTGCTTTTAGAGTGCAATTTAATCCAGATAGTTGAATTTATCGCTCTCTCTCTCTTGCTCTATTAATTTTTCACCTCGAACAGTCAATTTCCAAAAATAGATACTTGAATATTTAATAATCTTTGGAATATTCCAATAAGTGGCCAAGCTCTAGCCTGAAAATATCGAATTCTCCATCATAACTGAAATTGCTTTTCAGCCCAGTAAGTTTAAAATTATGAAATCCATCAACCCTTCCCCACCTGGTGTTCTGACCAGTAAGCAGTGTTGTAACAACAGTTTCGGGACGAGCACTGTATGACTGCTCTGTCAACTGAGAACCACAGATGTTGTCTGTTTGGAAATATGCCAAAACAGACAGGAGCCAGCAACTGATCCAGTGAGCTGTTTGCTCCAGATGGTCCATGGGTTAGGTCTGCTTCTCAGTAATGTTTCACTTGTATTTGTCCCACACTACAGGCTGCTTATGACAAAGTTTTGAAAGCCAGAAAAGCAAATGAGTTAAGGAACAGAGCACTTGAGAGCAAACGGAGAAAGGTCAAGGAAGGTCAGTGAAACAATGATACGCAGGTGACTGGTTGAATCTGTTAATAAGCCGATTGCTAGTAATCTTTAATCCTGGAAAGTCCACATTTTTTACCTTTTCTGAGCTGTGGATAGCAGGTTTGATTCCGCCAACAAAATTTTGGTCATCCCGTTGCCAATCTGGTTAAAACTTGTTTTGAGTTTATCTGTGAAGTTCCAGTGTAATCCAACAATGGGTTCTTTTGTTACGGTCATCTGTAGTTCGCACACTCACACCTACACTGCAGTCATTTCTTGTTTTGACATGACCAGCGCTGTAAGTCTAACGTACATGTACAAGTCTTGTTTGACATAGCCCAAAATGACACAGTCATTGGCTAATTAGCTAGCCTTTTAGGCAAAATACAGTGTCAATGTTTCACAGTCCCCAGGTTGTCTTGAATAGGACTGTATACTTATTGCATTGAGTTATGCCTTGCACCTTTTTTCACCACAATAAACGGTGAGTGTGCTTGTCACGAAAAAGAGAAATGAGCTCCGTGTGAGCTGTATGGATGACTTTGCCCGATTTCTCTTTGCAGAGCTCGAAGCAAGAGAAGCCGCATTCAGGGAGGAGCAAGACCGGAGCAAAGGCAGAGATGCGGCACAGCAGCTGAAGGCAGTGGTAAGCCTAGAAAATGCCCACATGCTGTGGCCACTGCAGTGCTCCTCCTTAGTGCTTTTTCCATACTTCAGCACATGACGCAAAACACAGTTCACTACTTCGTGCTGGGGGCATTCATTAATGCTGATTCTGCTGGGCCGGGATATTTTTCTTTTTTCTGTTTTCAAAATCCTTTTAAAAAACATATCTTCATTTACAGGACACTTACACCCACACGAAAGACTGTCTGGTTTCTACTCTAATCTGACAGACAACATCTATTGACGCTGGAGGATTTCAGCCAGGCCTGTCCCCTTGTAAAAAGAGCCCAGATTATGCGGTGTTTTGTAATTTTCTTTTGTTCCCGAATTTGGCACAGTGCGCTGCTGACGTCTTTTCAATAGGGGCCTGATTAGCATGCATTGGTACTGTGTGGCTCATCACTGCGGTGGTGGAGCGCTTTTGTCCCAGTGGTAATCCTCTCTCACTGAATGCCATAAACAGTGGTATACTGTTTGAAAACAATGCTGGATTATCTCTGCTATTGAGATTGAAAAAAGTTGGCAATTCCCAGCAGCCTGGTCTTTTGTAATGTACGAGTACAGTCTTTTGTTACAAGGCTCATTTCCTTTTGTCCGATTCCGGACACCCCGGCTGTGTATATAAAGAATATGTGCCCAAAATCAGGCTCCCCGGCAGCAAGTGGTTAAGGGGACAGTAGGTCACTGCCATGCTGGCAACGTTTTCATAATCCTATCCCTTCTCAATGGGGTTGTGGGTTAGACCTTGTGTTGTGTATGCTCAGCTGTCTAGATTATACATGAAATCATCCAGACTGCCCTAGGATACCATTCGCACTGCCTCAACACAATGATGGGAACTACCAGAAGATTTTGAAGGATTAAGGCAGTGAAACCCCTCAAAGCAGCATATCCAAGACATATTTAAGCATTTTGGAGGATTGAGGCTGAATGCAATTTTTCTTGCATGGATGATTTAAGGATTTTGAAGGATTGGGGTGGTGCCTATTACAAAGGCGTAGGGAATAGGTTAACCCTAACCCCCCAGGCCTTTTTCTAGGAACCGTCCTGAATCCTCCAAAATCCTCTGATTTTCAACTTGAAAAAATTGCATTCAGCCAAAATCCTCCACAAAATCTTGAAAATGTCATTTGGACATGAGCCTTACTTCCTAAATCCTTCAAAATCCTCCGGCAATTCCTGTCATCATGTTGAGGCAGTGCAAATGGCACTCTTGAGCTGTGCAGTTGATTCAAAAGAAATATTGGGCTGAATTTGTGCTTCACTAAGCACAAACAACATAAGGTCTGATCCACGACCTTCACGTATGGCATCCTTTGAAATCAGCCATGCACTTTTGCCATACACCCTGAATCCTCCAAAGTCCTCCACTTTGCAGAAAAGTATTTCAGAGGATTTGGGAGGGTTAGGGTTAATTACTGAATAAACATGTTTGCAATGGTGCGTGCACTCTGCAGCCCATTCTGCATGAACAGGCGTCTCAGAATGCATGTCATAACTCAGAAAGAAGCTACAGAGTGCTTTCTTAGTTTTAATAAAAATTTAATGTCCATTTAAAATCAGAATTGACAGGTAAATTTTGTTATGTCCATTTTGACCTCTAGAGCAAATAACAATTTTCTAAAAACAAGATCTACTCCATTGATTTGCCAGCATGCTTATTTATACTTAAAAACTGTTTTTGTTTATTAAGGGGTATAACTGTTGGGGAACAGTACTAATGAGGCTGGCCCATTTTACTGTGTTTGTGTCTTATGCCATAACTAAAACACCACGGTTGGTGGACTTGCAAATGTCTATTTATAGGCTTACAGTATGCTCAGTGTCGTGAGTGTGTAACTTGCTCATCTATCAATTGCCCCCCCCCAGCTGCCCCTCCCCTATTTTCAGATATATACACAAGACCCTAGAATAGAGGGTAATTGATTTCTTTTTTAAGTGCAAGTACGCTTTTTGTATGTGGATGTATTTGTACAGGTGATGGATTCTCAGGGGCAGGGAATTTAACTCTCTTGTAAAGGAACAGTCCCCACCTCTACAGTTTAGCCCCGTAGGGGACAAGGAGTTCAGGGGCAAATCAATTTGTGAATTATGTATAGCAAAGATGTTTTTCTTTTTGTATGTCCACAAGTTATTGATATTACCTCTTATGAGCATGTCTTCAGCTTTACCTTGTAAACATCTGTCAAAAGTTTATAGACCTTTCTCTTATTGCTTAGTGCCTGTCATTTGTGTGGGCAGCCAGTGTTTGCATAGAGGTTCACCCTTGGTTGATTACTAGGAAGCATTAGACTACTTCTGTGACTTAGCCAGAGGAAGGTATATGCTGTTTTTATTTAGGCATTCCGGTTACTGTTTGTATGTCATTAATGTTCAAAGTTTTAAGAAGTACAAAAACTTATTTAGGAGATCACAGCCGTTGTATTGCCGCTACTACCGACTGCCGTTATCTGCTGTTGATAAGCAGTCGTGGTGCTCTTTGACAACTGAGAATGTGGTCTTCTAGACTCCTTACTTGTATTCATGAGCTATTTATGAGTCACAGTGTTGCACTCCTCTTTCTCAGATCAAGAGGCTCCAGGAAGAAGGCTCTCGTATCTTGGCTGAGGAGCAGAGACTGTTGAAGGAGGAGCTGCAGAGGGAAGGCAGTGGGCTTCGTCAGGAGGAAGGTCAGTGTCCTCAGACTGCAGTAACCGATACCAGGCAGTGTTGTTGTTGAGTCGATCACAAAGCTCCACAAACCCCTTAACCCCTTGACGACAGGAATTTCTTTCCGAAAGCTGACTACAAGAATTCCAGCCTTGCTTGGCCACGAAGGCCACCTGCCAAACCTCAAATTCTCGGTTTGTGGCCATGTGTGCTCTGCACGCTTTGAATTACACGGTGAAAAGGCTCATTGTTCGGTGGCATGCAGCTCTACTCACGCTTCCACATTCCCGTTGCCTTTTTTCAAAGTGGGGACCATTGTGAAGCTGGTGATTATGATGCAAATTCGGTCTTTTCATTTCTGGGCTTCACACAAAGGCCAATCACCATATATAAAAGAGCCAGGGTCTGCCTTCTTTCACCATGTTCGCTAGAGCGTGGGCCGAGAATAATAGCTGAAAAACACGGCTCTATCCGCGTCCCGGCGCGAAGGGGTTAAAACCACTTGCCAACAACAAACTTCTTGTGGGTGTGATTTACAGCCGAAAAATACCAACTTTTTAAAATGAGGAGATGCATGCAGTACCACAGACCTTCTCATTGCTGGACTTTACAAATGTTACCCCTCTGTTCAAGATTTGTGGAAGCATTTCTTACTGCATTATTGCTCTTGGGAAACCCCAAGAGTGCCTGGCCACGGCCCACGTCTGGTCTAAGGCCTCGCACATGCTCAACCTCCACAAACTAGTGTAAGCATCTGTTTGTGTGTATACTCAATGGGGATCACTCAAGCAGGGGGATAAGTGTGGATATTTTCAGGGATGTGAGAATTCAGCTTTTCAGCAAATTTTACCTTTTGTTAAGACTTTTACTCTAGACTGAGCTTTTTGTGTACCTGCTCTGTGACACAATTGTGGAAACTTTTTAAATTTCACCTTTTTGCAAACTGTTCTAAGCTTTTTTTGTGGCCACTCACTGCCATGTTTAGATGTCACATGGTAGTGCATACTGCATTTGCCAGAGTGTATTTGAGGATCCTTTGTGTTACAACATAGGAATTGTATGTTAACATGTCATCCAGCATTCAGTGGGTTAAGTCCATCACTTTATCTGTTCATGAGTCACCACCTGGCAACTGCATTTTTCTTTACTGCTTATTTGATCACTTGTGAAGGGGTCAAGACTACGACATTGGCAATTGGTCCATGGACAATGGAATGGTGATTTTGGCCCCTCTCACAGCCAGGTGGGGGCAGATTCTGCCCCCCCCCAACTCTGCTGTACCACACTCAATCACTCAATTTGTTAAAAACTTGGCAGACATATGAAGACACTACTTTGAAGTCAATCAAACTGATGGTTTTGGTGTTACGATCATTTTAAGTTCAAGGTTACATGCATGCCAGCCTGCATGCATTGAGCACCATTTTGTGGAAAAAGTATAAATTTGGCTGACCTGGCTCGGAAAACTTGGTGCTGCACAAGAACGGTAGGTTCAGTTATCACAAAATAGATGTTAAAATGACTGCAAAGAGTTACTCCTAAAAGCTCAGCTCCTGAAAAAAATGCACTATGGAGTTATCAGAAAAAAAGTCCCTCCGGCTCTTTTAGGTTAAGTTTTAGGAAGCATTCATCGTTGCCTCAACTTGGCTCAGTGTACTAGCCACATATCTTTTCTACTGGATGAAGATGAAGTGGATTCAAACCTCTCATCTTTTGATTAACAAAAGACAATTTTTTGCAGAGCTTTGTCTTTCTTTGTGTCATGGAAGTACAAATAAGCAACATTGAAAACTGTTTTGTTATCTGTTATTCTTTAGATGATCCTCCTCGGCTAAAACTTAAATGGAAGAGTAAGAAATCAGATGATACAAATGGAGGATACAGCTATGATGTCCTATATCGAACCCTCCTGAAGGTAAAAATTGACCTCCTCTTACATTCTATTTGCCTCAGTGTATGAAACTTGGATGTTGAAGCTGGTGTTTGCTTAAAAAATGGTGTTAACTATTGAACTCATGCTCAATTCCAAATGATTTCTGTCAGTTAATATTTTTAAAAAGGATTTTCAGATTACACTTGATAGCATCAGAAAAGATTTACATACTAGCACAGTCAACATACATAGAGTTAGGTAAATATTGTAAACATTGAAAGAAACACTAATAAATTAATTGCTGAAAAGTTGAAGTTTGAAAATTCAGTATTCTGGTGTTGCCCATGGGTGTTTTATACACTTGGGCATGTTACCCTCAGGTATACAAATGCCATGCACCATGGCACAAGAGGCAAAACCTAAACACAATGCTGTTGTCAAGGCTGAGAATTATTGTGGACACCTCAATAAGAGTATGAAATCATATTTAACGTGCGTGTTAGTGCTCTTAGCTCTGCTGTGTGTGGGCTGGAGGGAATTGAGACAAGTCTGTTAAAGATTTTAACTTCGCCTCCAGTAACATGATGGATTTTTTGGGGCCTTTTTCATTGTTTACTTTGAATTTTGTTTCAGTACGGCCCAATTACAAACTTGCTTGTGTCCAGCAAGAAGAAAGGGAGTGCAGTGGTGGAGTTTGGCACATCAAGGGCTGCAGTAAGTACAGGGAAACTGTCAGTTTTGACTGTTCTCTCTCCTTTTGTTTCATTCTCCGGGAGTTTTGAGTCATGCATTGGTAGCGGAAAAGGAATGGAACGTTCCGGCCAGTGTGTTGTATCAATGTGCATCTGTACAAAAAGCAGATTGAGCTGGGATGAAAGGTTTACATTCATTTGGATTTGTAAAACTTTAATAGACCAATTGCACGTGCTAATAGTGGGTATCGACCCCATAGCAATGTGTGTTTTGGGTGTTGTTCACAAACAATACAGCCCAGTTATGGTACAGGTACCCAGCACATCCGTAGTCTGAGTAGGGTACCTACCGTCGGCTTCATTTTTGTTAAATGACACTTATGAAACACTTTGCTTGGGTGGACGCCTTGTTTGTTGATAATAAATACCCACTATAGGTCACGTGACTTAGCTGGCGCAATCGGTTTGTTACTGTTTGCAAGAATTCTTCTTATCCTTAACTCCATGCTGCTTTTCCATGTTACCATTTGGAACATGTATTCAGTACCAGTCACTTTTCACCACAACTGTAGGTGTCTCTTACATCAGTCCCCATTTCTAGGAATCAACTGCAGATATTGTTTTTGTGGTGCTTCCTGTACATAATATTTCTTCTACTGTCGCTTTTGCTGCTGCAACCGATTTGTACTTTGATTCTACTGCCGTTTGTTAGCATTTTGCCACTATTAGCGGTGCACTTGTTACTTCTATTGTACTGTCTTGCTCATTGCAGTTGGGGGTCCAACAATGAGCAACTTTGGGTGCAAACTATTGTTCGACCAACAGTCGATTGCATTTTAACAATGCACATGCGCAATTCTGCTACACTTGAACAACCGTAGTCGGTCAATTTTTTAAAATCTCATCGTTACTCATATTTCACTGTTGGCTGCAAACCTCGCAATGTATATGGTCATTAAAATCTCATACAATTGTTTTCATGTGAATTGTTCCCTCCATGATGATAAATGACATTGGTTATTGATAACAAGCGGTGCAACCATGCCCTGGAGCGTGATCCCAAATGGTCGATGAGATAGTTAGTTTGGCGTTGGTCGAACTGTAGATAAATATAGTCGTTGCTCAAACTTCCCCAGTGCTGTACACTGCCTCTGGGTGCTGTTGCGTAGTGCTGCTGTCTTGTAGGGACTGCTTGGTTCTGGTGCTGCAGCTCATTGCTGGTGCTATTGTAGTGTGCTGCTGAGTGTTTGATCCCCTGGTGCTGTACCATGATTCTGGTGCTGTTGCATAGTGCTGCTGTCTTGCAGGGACTGCTTGGTTCTGGTGCTGCAGCTCATTGCTGGTGCTATTGTGGTGTACTGCTGAGCATTGTTTGATCCGCCAGTGCTTTACCATGCCTCTGGGTGCTGTTGCATAGTGCTGCTGTCTAGCAGGGAGTGCTTCCTCCTGGTACTGCGGCTCATTGCTGGTGCTGCTGTTTGCTGCCGCTGGTGATCTGGTGATGTTGCTACTGCTGTCGTTTGAACTTTTGCTGATGCCACTTGTCGCTACGCCGTTTGTAGTTGGTATTGCAGATACGATCAGGTTTTGTTGACACTGTCTTATTTGACGCATTTTACATAACTTGTTCACAGGAACTTGCAGTCCAGAATGAGTCTGGGCTGAGTACCAATCCTCTGGAGCTCTCTTGGTTGTCAGGCCAACCCAAGGCAGCCACCGTAGCACCAAGCTCGTCAGCACAGGTCTGAAAATGGCTGAGAATTTAGAATATGTATTGGGTAGATTGTATCGAGCTAAAAAGCAGTTTGAAACTTCCAGGATGTTATTTTGGAACTGATATTCAGAGCAGTTTTTATTGCCTGGGGGGGCATTATCGGGAAAATTTGGAAAAGCAGGGGAATGTGTTGTTTTGGCCCAAAAGTAACATGGTATATACTCAATGTGTCAATCATATGCTGAGTGTCGTCAGAAGAAATTGAAATTATAGGGTGAGCAGACTGAGTTATTAAGCTTGATTGGGTTTGTTTGCTGGAGGTCTGGTGTGTTCATTCGTTAAAATGTGGTTTTGTTTACAGCCTCCCAACTCCAACGCAGATGATGACTTTGAGTCCTTGGTCCTTCAGAGGTTGAAAAGTGCCGGACGACAACAGAGGTGTGGTGGACAACATGCTGAGGAAGACAAAGATGTCAGACAATCAGCCCCCCAAGACGGCTCCCGTACAAGTGATTTCGCAGCAAAGGAGCAATATTTAAGGCATACCGAGGACATCGCCTCAGTGCCTGAGGATCTATTGACGAGTGGGGACAGAGCAGAAACAGTTTGTTCTCAGGAGGGAAGCATCCTCCAAGAGGGAAGACCGGATAGGGACTGCGACACTTTTAAAACTTCCAACTCGGGCAGAACTGAGGCCAGGGACTACGAGAGTTTAGCGTTGAGGAGGATGAGACAAGTGGCCGAGAGGCAGAAGTTGATAGAGCAGATGGCCAGAGAAGATGCAGGAGAGACCTAAGAGCCGTTGCTAAATGGTTTACAAGGCTACCAACGAAGAACACAGACATGTTTTTGCTTATAACAGCAGAGTTGGAGGTGGTTTTTGTGTTACGGTGTGGGCAGCAACTCTTGCCGAGGATCATTTTTATGGCATGCGGCTTAAAAAATTGTCGACTAATGCCAGCAGAAACCGGCAACATATCTCTTCAGTTGTATGCCTTTTATACTGGTCCATGCTTGCAAGCCATCCCTCATCACAGACTGATCCAGTGACCAGAATTAGATAAGTTATAACTACAGTGGCATGCCCATGAATAGCGTCATGATTTGCCTAAATGCACACATGCCTCAAGTTTATGAATGCCTGCATGAGTATGGTGCTTCTGCAGTAGTGGCCTCTCCGTTGATTGTTCAAGGGGCTAAAAATGTACCCGGAATGAATCAAGAGAATGGATGCTGACCATGCTCGAGCTGAAGGCGAGGGACATTATCAGGTGTCCGTTCTCCTGAGCTGGTCTTAAAATGAAGTTTAGGACAGGCCAAGCACATATGTGACCCGCTCCAGGAAAACGTGATATAAGTTACAAAAATAAAATCAAATTATATACATGACTGGAAAGCCCACATTGTAAGCTTTCATTTGGTATATGATAGAGCTCCGTAGCTTTTCCAGTTCCGGAGCTATGACACATTTGCATATTAATTAGTTCCAGGCAATTGAAATTGCAAAACCGAGAAAACAGGCTTTGAAATATCTTGCTCTGATGTGGGTTGAAGGCATTTAAATCTTACTTAGCAACCAACATGTTCTTGTGTTACAACTACCTTCAAAATTCACACAAGGACTAAGAAATTAGTATTTTCAATGATTTTGTCAAAAAAAAAGGGATTTTTTAATCCAACGTTGAGCGGGTCATTGCTCGTTAATGCATGGTGCGACTTATATCACCTTTTCCTGGAGTGGGTCACATACAGTATGTAGTTATTCCCATTCACAAATACTTTTTGAGGTAGAGTAAAAAAAAGAATTTCACTTCATTTTGTCAAACATGATATGGTATGGTCCTCTCGTAAGTAGTTGTAAACAATCTCCTAACACATGTATATACATATATGAAGATTGACGCGCATGGTGCGCATTGCATGAGGGGGATCAAAGCCAGTCGGTGTTTTATCATTTGTTCAACACTGACCACAATGGACTTTCAACCAATCCACCTCGAGCAGAAGCACCCCCTCATTGGTTCAAGGTTGAAAAGAGCCCTATTGGTCAGGAGTGTTTTGTTGGTAGCAATGGGACCGTTACGCGTGTATTTCCTAGTCATTCGTGAACTAGTGAAGTTCAGTTCTGACCAAAGGAGCCTACATTGCTCAGAAAATTGTGCCCTCTCTTGGTCTGACTCGTGGCTCATAGGAATGGCCAAACTGTCTTAGGTATACATATACATGCATAGTCTATAAATATACATGTACCAAGGGAGGTGGCTAGACTTTCCCCTGGCCTTGTCATTCCCTCACCAGATAAATACTGAGGTGAAAACTGAGGCCAGTGTTTCTTCTGATTATGAATGGGGGGAGTTTCTTGTGTGACCTAATTAATAAATAGGCCAAGTGCTTATCTCACGGGGAAATGTTCAAAGCCTTATTCATTTTGTCTCATGAATGGGCTTACACGCATGTAACCCCCTCTGCAAAAATGAGTCTTAAGTCGCCAGAGCTACTTTGGAGTAAAAAGTGTTTTAGAATAATTTTGCCCAGTGTAAATCAATAGGAACCCACAGGATTTGTCACCATGGAGTATCCACTTTCATCAGGATGCCAAACTGAGTGATACATCAAAACAAAAACTCAATTTGCTCTTTCTAGTACAAATGAGAACTCAATAATTGACTCTGGCGACTTAAGAGTCATTTTCACAGAGTGGGTCACATATCTTCTGAATGTTTACAAAACAAGAAGAAGAAATGTGCACACAACATGTACTGATTACTGCATGCAATTTATTAAAGAAAAGTATCTCGTACTGTAAGTAGGACATTTTTCTTCTTTGAGGTACAAATTGAGGAAAGGAATTATACTGATAAGAAACAACGTAATCAAAGTTTGATAAACTTTTCTGTAGCACAGTACTTAATGCATTGATTCGAATCTCAAATTTTATGTTCAAAAAGTGCCTGTAATAAAACTTTCCCACATCTACAAAATGTGCAAGCTGTGTGTACAAAACCACTGAGGTTTTGGGAGAAGGCTACTATGCACTCTATTGTAACTATGGATGCTGCAGCATCCTGGATTTTATGGATCATAATGAGCCAAATTGGTATTCTGAAAAGGAACCAGTAAGGTCATATATGGGATCCAACATCATACCAGCTTGAACGTGTTCAGTGCAGGTGATTCGGCATATGGTCACACTGATAGGGCTGATCTCATGCGCATGTGTTAATGAGGTAGGAACAATGGATGTCATAAAAAATCTGGACTCTCAATCCTCTCATACCAACTGAAGCCCCAGCAGCCATCTGACCGTGCCAAATACATGTACAAAGGTGATCACAGGCACGCATTCTATTGTAACTTGTTACCGGTACCATGAACAAGTCTTTTAACAATGACGAGCACGCTTTTGTATTCCCTTTGTATTTGGCACAGTAAGATGGCTGCCGGTGGCTTCAATGATCTATGTCAGCTGCGAGTCATTAATTTAACATGGTCATCAGGGCCCAATTTCATGGCGCTGTATTCCGCGCTTATGATCTCCATTCTGCACTTACCTCGCCAGCAGAAAAATTCTTTGCTCACCTTTTAAACACAGAATCCTTAGTTACGAGATGTACACATGCACGCACAAGCCCAAATTCCTTGCTTACCTGGAAATACATTCGCGGTAAGCACAGAATTTTCTGCTACGGTAGGTGCCAATTTTTCGAAATTGGGCCCTGATGGCAAAAGTGGAAGGGAAAGAAGCATTACAATTTACAGGTTAATTTCCACTTAAAATACATGTATTTGCAATTTGTAAAAAAAACTGGTGCAAACAAAATCAGTGGTCAATCAGTCACTGTACACTGCTGTCAGTACTGGGTACACAAAATGAGAGTCTGTTTGAGACACTTGATGGAAGAGAACATATATACCAGTCCCATGTGACCAGTCCACTGTGGTTGCGTCGCAATTGAGCCATTTGCGAGTTAAATTTGAATAAAATCTGGTGCACTGAGTTATCTGATTACACATAAACAAAACCATTTGAATTCCTCAGACTAAAGACACTGTTGCTATACCTCATGATTTGAGGCAAGCTTTTGCATAGCGACCACCATCTCTGGAATGGACTGCTTAACTCGCAAAAGGCTTATTGAGCTAATGTGTGCGTGCTGAATGCTCAAAATGATGTAAACAACAGTGGACCAGTCACATGGGACCAGTAGTTGTATATTTGCCCCCACCACCTGTCTCAAAAAGTCTCCCATCACATTGCCTTGACTAGACTGCGTCCAAAAGTTCTGGCTATGGCTTGTAGGACCATGCAGCTACAGGAAGTGGATAGAGCCCAAGCCAAATCTTTTGGACATTACTGTACAGTCATTTGCAAATGTTTAAGACCACCTGGAATTTTAGTGGTATTTCTGTCACTAGGCCTACTTGACATGTTCTTACAGTGGTGCATAATATCAGTGTAGTGCTAAATACCCATTTGGATGAAATTTTTGGCAAAGGCAGGTCTTGTATGACATTTTGTCTGTAAGGCAGCATGGGTAAAAAAAAGCCAGTCTAAGTAATCAGAAATAAAGGAGGGCGCACTACATATTAGACTGTTAACATTTCCAATTATGGAAATGTAGTCAAATACATGTAGCTGTGTAACCAAGATACCGGTACTTAAGGTTACACATTGAAAATAAACATAAGTTGACATGATTGATTGGTTTAAGTTTGGTTGTCCTTCAGGCTATTGCATTTTGTATGGGTGGTCCTAATCGTTTGCAAATGACTTTAGTTTGAGGTATTTAGTACCAAGATGTGAAGAGATTATTTTCAAAATGTGATACGTGTACATGTATTTGAAAAATACAAAGTTTTTTCCATGATGATAAAACATTAAAGAATAATGACAATATAATGAGCGTACATGTACCAAGACTTCATTTTTGCTGTCTTAATTGTCTGAAATGGAATATGGGCATCCAGGAGGGTGGGATTATGAAAAGTGATACAATGGCACTGATCACATTCTAAAAACAAACTCTTCATGTAGCAGAAACAGCACTCTATTAGAAACAGTACATTTGATAAACATCCTTTACATTTTTCAAGCTTTTCTTGGCAAATGAGGGCGCTGTCAGCTGTTCAAATTATGAACCTCAACTTTTCTCCCTGCAAATATTTTGTGGGAAAACTCAATACCAGCCTACCGTTATGTACCTGAAGAACAATAGATCACAAAAGAAAGGAACTTTTAAGGCAACAAGACCTTCCAACGATTCTGACAAATTTTAGTGCAGAAATACTCTCAGCTATAACCGTGAGGTTTCTCTCTGGAATGCCATCACACTTCTCATGAATACACAATTATATTCGCATATTAAAGAATCAGTCTTCAAATGGCAAAATGGAAATTGAAAACAAGGCTAAAATACTAACCACAAAGGAGCCGTTACAAAGAACACAGCCCCCAAAAATATATTGCATGGCCCTTTACATGTAACTCAAATGTGAAGATAAAGATGTACATGGAATTGCTTGATAATTTTTTATCCAATTCTTAAGCCATTGCTGGCAGGTTTTGGCAGATTTTGGCACTATTGATAGGAAGATACGGCCTGTTCACCGTTACTTTTAATATTATCTTGTGCTTGTATCAAAGTCAATTCCCTTTGACAATTACATTTGAGAGAGGAAAAAAACAGAAGAAAAAGTGTCCTGTTTGTGTACCTTGGTAATTTTGAGAATTTACAGGGGTAACTGGCAAGGGAATCAAGGTGTACACAGGCAATGGTACACAGGAGGGGTGTGGTCGCACACACTTTAGGGGGAGGAGAAGGAAAGAGGAATTGCAACACTTATACACACTGCAGGTTGTGTGCATTTCAAAGTTTCAAATGGGGCACTGTACTTGAGGAAGGGGAGGGGAATACACCTTCACTGGTAGGGGGAAGCCCACCCTCACTCCCCCTTACATTTGCATTCGTCCCAAACACCTGGGTATATTGAAGTTATCTTTTGTGTGGATATATAAAGTTTGGGTTGAAGGGGTCACACCTAGGTGAGATGAACATGACAAAAATTGCTATGGTGTTTGGTGAATTGGGAGAGAAATGACTTCCTGGACAGCCAAGAAATATTTCCCCGATAATGGAAAGCACTTCCATTCACGGTAGGTGCTACATGTATTTTGGGAAATATTGAATTTCTCTGAAATCAGGCATGCGAATTTCCCTCAGATCAGCTGATTTCCTTGTTTATCACTTCACACTCGTGCCATTGGAAATTGAAAAACACTGTACAAATCCTCGCAACAATTGGAATTTCCTCATTTTTGTCAAAGTCCAAGTTGCATGCCTGTAGATAATGCAAATGAATACATGTATATACCATACCCACCAGCTGGTGTTAAATCCAGTTTCTTTTAATAGGTGTAGGTGCTTTCTGTCTGCACTGTCCAGTCTACGGGTACGCATATATGTACATGTACAATTGGAGGGCTGGATCTGTACCACAAGTCACATACAAAACTTCTCTGCTTGAAATGTGACAAATGCATTTGAGAGAACATACCCGTGCACATCACACAAAAAAGAAAGTATCCACTTTTTTCCTGGGAACCCTGCATGTAATTCGGAGAATTCAACGGAAAATAGTGACGTGCGACTGAACCCGCATGTCATTTTGCACCGTTTGACATCTCACTTGTTTCTTACAGCATATGTACCACTAAAAGTCACAAGGCAGTGACCATCTGAATGCAAACGGACACAGATTCCATTGTTGCACTTAACCCTTTAACCCAGTCAAAGACTGGGTACTGTACTCCTTATTGTATCACCACAACCACAGAAATTGAAGGCGCCAACTCATAAATAAGGCCAGGGACTTAATGTTCGTTTAAAGGGGGGAAGGAGGGTTTGCAATACATGTATGAACAATCAAAATGAAGAGTCACTAAAAGCACTCGTTCATTTTGCCCCCCTGGGTTCAAGTGCTGACATGCCAACGGCACAGAGCAACACTGGTTCTATACCCCCCGTGGTTACAATGCTTTGCATCAAGAGCAGCAAAATATTAGAACAAGGTGTAATTATGTTCTTGTAACTCTACAAAGAGGGACATTTTGTTCATGTCAAAAGAAGCCAAAAATATCACTATGCTAGTTTTGATGCATACATACTTTGACAGCTGCGAAGCTTACCAACTGAAATGAGTTTTCCCCATAAAGTTGAGTCATATTATTAGCAAGATTGGGAACTTACAATTATACTTCCAAAGTTAACATTGTCTGGGCTAACAACTTCAAATACAGGTAAAGTTGAGTTTAAATTTATATTAAAAAAGTATGACTCAAAAAGGCACAAAGGTCATTTACCATTACTATTTACATGGAAGTTGAATGTTTCTGGATTCAATGTCTACTTCTTTACACAGTTTTGTTGCATTAGACAATATGTGGCACTCATTATAATGGGCACTGACTACAATCCACTGAGAAATTTCACGTTGTGACATGTGCTTCCACAACAATGTGCACACCTGCTAGCCAGTCACATGACTTCACATCATAACATGTAGGTTTGTACATGTACAACATGCCGGCATCCTGAAGTCTTGAAAAAACAAATCGTTTGCATGTGGTCAGTACTGATGATGTCCCATGCACGTACCATACATGTACGTTATTGAATTTAAAAGGTAAGGTACATGAAGCTTGCCAAACTCATCTTGTATTCAGTTCCACTTGCTTCTTGTGCATGGTCCACACCATAGTTTGGCCCATACCTGTCGCAGAAATGACCCTGTAACCTTTCGCCTCCAACCTGTCCAGGACCACCCTGGGTAGCAGGTCCGTCCTCCATTCTTTGCTGTATTAAACAGACACGAAAATACATGGGAGATATAGGCTGGTACATGTAGGTTTGATATCCGTCCTATCTACAATCACACCTGGACCGTTGGTTTCATACAATCATGGGTGAAAAAAGTTTCACCTTTTTGTGTTGCTGAGGAAAGAGTGCCCACTAAACAAGTTTCTCAAATGCCTTTAAATGGATTATCCATATAGGTAATAAATTGTGGCCCGTTACACACAATTTTTGTCTTAAAATTTGTATAACTTTCTGAATCGCTCTGTTTCACAACTGGATTTCCTTCAAAAGTTAGATTCAAAAGTAAGACTCCTTTTAAATAAGGCCATGTGGTGGGATCTGTCTATACATGTACACCGGAATGTGCTTTCTGCACAGCGTATTTATTCCCACAGTCCTATCACAGTCACGGGGGAGGGGGGGAACATTCTGCTGTGGACACACAGACATTTACGCAGACCATAGAGCACTGAAGCATGACACCATTTGAATCAGAATGTGTCATGCAAATGAATGGTTCTTACACTAATGCCTGCTACCCACATGTGTCATTGTGCACGTGGCACATTAACTTCAGTACTCTATAGTGCTGATCTTCTTCACAAATTAGGCCCAAACAAGGACTTTATTGTCTCAAAATATCTATCCAATTTAATACACAGTACTTTCTCAAAATACACACACAGAATGTATAAAGTGCAGAATACATTTAAGCGTGAACATGATAAGTGTGTGCACATCAGTGGTACTGATGCCCACAGAGTATACATGTGAATACAAATTCAGACCTGCCACCCAAGGCGTACTCCTTCCTGAAGGTATTTAAATGAGCATTCAGTTCATTTCAATTTTTAATCTCTTGTGCAGTAATGCCTGACCTCAGGAAGGAGTACGGCTTGTTGGTAGGTCTGCAAATTATGCATGTACTGTATCTTCAACAATACAAAATAACACTGTTTGCTCCACATAATGTACATGTACACCAAGTGAAATTTTGTCAGGAATGAAGGCTGCTTTAACTGTTTCAAAGCATGATTCTGTTACTATTTCTGTTTCCTATGAATGCAAAACAAAACATGTATACCATTGTACACCGTATATTTACCACTTAAACCCTGACTTTCTTTTCCCACAAACCTTCAGACAAAGCCTGGTGTACAAAATACATACAAATATTGTGTGTGGGTGAGGGAAACATGTATCCATCTGGCTCACATGTACATTTTTGTATTATGTCATGCATTGCATTTCTCTTAGTAGGCCAAAATACTATGACCAGCATCAATCATGGGCACAGAATGGACCAAAACATAAATGCAAGTATAGTAGCAAAGGCAACTTTCTTCTGGAAAGAGAAGCGTTAGGCCTTAAGGTTTCTCACATGTACATATACATGTAATTTACAGGCACCTGCATTACATGTATGTACATGTATGTTCTACTGCTGATGTGACTCAGGGGGGTTAACATTCAGCCATGTACAAGTTACAAATAATGCTGAAAATCTAGCTACATGTACCGGTACCAATGACACCATTTACACAAAAATCAGTGTGGAGGATGTTATGGTATACATGTAGCTGTGCTGTTTAGGCACCGACTTTTGCACAAAAAGGTATCTTTTCTTCATTTTATATCAAAATAAGGGAGCACAGTAGTCTTCACTGTATCATTTACAAATGTGTGCTTTCCAAAGTCCAGTCAAGAATGAAGGTTATAAAGATATTCTGAAGTGTTATGCACTGAAAAATATACTGAATAATGCTATATGAAACAAAGAACAAAACAGGAAGAAAGTTAAGGATGAGGAAAACTTGCCAAAAAAAACCCAAGAAAAGATAAAAACTAGCCAGTAATGCTGTAAAGATGACTCGTGCTTTAATACAAAACTAAAATACACTGGATGTTGATATTATCTACATGGTACCCAAGACATGGGATTGACACTTGTGAAGTTGATATCTCAACCCTTGGGGCAAAGTGTCAATCTTTTAGCTGGCAGACAGGGGTGGGGCTAAAACTCACTGCTTTGTATCCAATGTGCCAGTGATTAAGGTTTGCGTGACAAACCTCCCCACCCTGGGGCTTCAAAAATGTGACTAAATGCTGGGATACAGGTAAATTCCAGTGCTTTACTTGAGATCTCTTAAGACCACCATAGGACCCCACAAGACCCTCACAAGATCAACACAGAACCTCCATTCTGAATGCAAGTCACAAGCCATTCAAATGAACTGCAACAAAATCATATTCCTTGGTAACTGTTTACCCTATTTTATAACATGGACTTGTGCCTGGTCATGTGACTAGTCTTCTATCTGGTCTTGTGTTTGATCTTGTGAATGGTCATATGAGGCTCTGAACTACAGCACCAAACACTTTTGTCAGGCAGTGAGGGGATGAGGCAAAAGTGATAAGTGTACATGATTATCCCCTGAAAAGCCCATCCCTAGCTAGTGCTGTCTGCAAGTAAGAGGACACACCCACCCACTGTCAGATGGGGACAAGTACCCCTTTAGAATACTGGCTTATATATATTGGATGAAAAACAGCATCTGTAATCTTTGAATTTATACAAAGCTCAAATGAAAAGTGCAGTTGAAGTGGGTTGATTTCCACCATGCCCCACAGAATGGCCTTTCATTGTTCTGTTTATGCTTTTCAGGCATAGCTCCCAAAACTAATTTTCAAATGAAAAAGCTCATGTTTGTTTCAGCATTACCCAACATCGAATGGTACACCAAACACCAAGACTGATGTATAAGAAGAAACAAAAGAGGACTTTGACATAAAATGTACCATTTGTGACTGCAAAATGAGTCCTTCATGAAATAATACTTACTCAGATCCCTGGAAAGTATTACTACTGCACGTGACCCACATTCATGTACATGTAACCACCATCACATCTCTGTTAGGTATGTATACAGGTGTGAATAATTACCACAAGAAAGTACTTCAACAGTGAAAGTTTCAGTGACTCATGGAAATCAAGCCATGATCAAACTAGTCCTTAGACTAGTTCCTCACCTCCAACTGATCAATGAGCAATTCCTAAAACTGTACAAATCATTCAGTAGGCAGGAATTTTAATATTTGCCCACAGTATAAATTAAAAACTATTCCTCTGGAAGACAAAATAGTGTATTCTGAGTTGTTTTTATTAAGGGATATACAGGAAGTTTTCTTTGAACTATAGAGCCTTCTCAGGGGGCAGCCATCCTGTTTTTCTACCTCTGAGATATACATGTATGTAAAGTTGTAATACTTTTCTCATCTCAGAGGCAAGACAAAAATGGCCGCACCATGATGAAGGTGATAATCTCTTTATAACAATGATGTGCATGTTTATATTATAAAATACATTATTTAATTGCTTTACTAATGCACTCAAAATTACAGGTAAACATCATCTGCACAGCAAGCCAAAACAGCAGCAAAACGTACATCTTGGAGGTATCTTTATGTCATTCAAATAATGTACAAGTGTATCATGGAAGGTTTGCCCGGACCTGTACAGCAGTACGGTGAGGACTTTTATTCAAAGATGCCTGCTACACATACATGTACATGTAAGGTCTATACCAGTCTAACAGGATGGAAAACATATGAAGTACTGTACATGTTTAATGAGGAATATACACACATTCATATAAACTTTGGAGAAAACTATGTGCCCAACAAATGTGTATACCGGTAACTGTAAGATCCTCAGGAATGTTAATGATGCAGTAAGCATGATGGCACATCATTGACCTTATGTTGACCCCTCATCCTGGGATGGTCCATTGTCCAATGGCAACGGCTTATGCAGAGTCCAGACCATGGTCTGCCCAGTTCCTGATTGGCTGATGACCTTGTAGCCCCGCCTCTCCAGCTTGTTCAGGACCATTCGGGGCTTGTCTGTGGTACAGTATTCATGGCTGTGGGTGTGACAGAGAAACCATAGAACTGACCATGAAAATGTGAAACATATGTTAATTTGTACACATGTACAGTTATTTACGGGCCACTCCCAAATTAAACATTCTTAAACTTTAAATATCTGTTCATATTTTGCGGACCTAACCCTCCCAAAAATTTCCAATGGTAAAAATTGATTTGCAATTCAATACAACCACAGGTAATGGTGGCAGTGGTCAACTTCACAATTCATGTACCCACACATGTACATGTACCATTACATTGTTCACAGAGGCACAAGGAAAAACAACAGTAAAAAGTCACTGGCCTTTTTTATTTTTCTTTCTTTTTTTATTTTACTGAAAACTTGATATTCAATCATTTCACAAGATCCACCCACTTTTTGCACAAAAATCTAAATTTGGCAACATTAACAATTTTGAATGGCCTCTTGGGAAGCGTGCAATGATGCAAATGCAAGATTGGCTGTTTACAGTAGTTGCCTTATTTTGAAAAAAAAATTGTACTGAATCAGAATTTAGCAACTTACTGGTACATGTACGTTATGTACAATGTACATTTACAATGTATGTACCTGACAATGTTTAAAGTGTTTTATTACGTGTACATGTGAAATCATGCATTACAAACAGCTGTTTAAGTACTGAAATAGGGTAAAAACACAACAACACATACATGTACATGTATGCACATGTACCAGTATGGTACAGTATATGTGCAAGTACATACATGTAGATGTACATGTACTGTAGATGTAATTCCTGTTCATGAACCAGCCCTACTTACAGGTAACTTACAGCAAACCACGATAAAACTACATGTAAGCTCTTGAAAGACAATCCATTAATGTACAGTTTAAAAAGAAGATAAGGGTAATTTCAGAAATTACGGGTCCATTTTTTGTGTCCCTGTCACATCTGACACACGATTTTGTAAGTTCAGAATACATTTTCTAATTTCCAGGAGTGATGGATTAATGCAAATTACCGGTACCTGCCAAACAAATAATAATACTTTGAAATTAATTCTGCTGATATTACCATGTCAAATAAACAAAGGTCAGATGCAACAGTGGCACAAAATGTCACACTATTGGACCCCTCGTTTTTTGGAATTACCCATACGGTATATCAACTTGATGTACAGTACTTGCTTAGGCCTGTGTATGAGCGTTTAGGGCTCTGGTGATCTGGTCAGACCATATTATTGGAGCACAGTTTCTGCTACAAGCCCACACGTGGAAGGGAGCCACAGTGTGGTACTTTTTAACTGCTTCATACAAATATTTGTGCATTTTATACTTTCCTTCAATCTTTAAAAACAATGTCACATCCTTTGGGGGGTTACATGTAGGTGCATTGGAAAGTATTTTTAACTATTTATAAGTGCCCATGCCTTTCCAGATAACAAAGGGAGCACGTTGCTGTGATGCCAATAAGGGTAGACCCTGCAGAATTGTTTTTTTTCTGTTCAAATTGTGAATCTCAAATTTGTTCACTGGAAACATTTTTGATGATGGGTTGCACGTTGGCTTACTGCAATGAACTTAATGAATCAATAAAGAAAAGGAAAAGTTAAAATGGCAAAATATCCAAAAGTCTAAATTTGTCTTTGTTTTTTCCCCCAGAGATCGGTGCGGTTCCACATTGAGGCTTCTTCCCTGGAATGACATCACAGTTTTGCTCATGAATATGCAAATATGCCTCAAGTGTTTACCTCAAGTTGCTTGTATCGTATTTCATCCTGTTTGTAAGGTTGCTCATTCACTCATATCCAAGGGCACTGGCGCAACGTCTCATTTCTTCAAGAGGCATTATGTAACTTCTGCAAGCCCTCGTGGGATGCCATTTGGCAACACTGCGCATACATGTACTTGTAGTGTACAAGCGTGCATTTAAGGTACAGAACAGCACTTTGTCACGCCTGTGCTTCCTTCACAAAAGTTAGACATCCCGCACCGAATGTAGACATTTGCTCTTCACAGCACCCCTAGAGCAGAGGGTATGAGCAAATGTCCTAATTTCTCAGGTGTGAAAGTTGGTAGGAGAGCGCATTCAATGACACAATACAGGTACCTAAAAACATGTACACTGTAGATCGGTGTCAATATTGGGCAACAGTAAATTATAAACTGTACAGACATGCAGACCGGTACCTACATGTAAATGCATGCATACAAGTACTAGTGCTCGTACATGCGCACGTGTGAAGTACAGTGTACATAGGTTACAGGTGTGATACCCTGCAGGCATGGACATGTACACAATTTCCTCTTTACATAGATACATGTACATGTATAATTCCTCGTTTGTAATCATTTTTTTTTCAGCTTTGTACCCGCGCACACACCTACACGAACCTGTACACATACATGTACATGCGTATGTAATTCATCTGTGTATGTACGTACATGTACATGTACATGTAGAAGAACAGGTTTTTCTTTATTTCCAGCAGCACTTTGTCTTTTGCTGCTGCAGATACTATTCTTGTACTGGTATTTGCTTACTGGTAGGCCTACTCAAATTAATTCACTTTTAATTTGAGGATTACGTTGAATGGTTCGCATATTACATGTATGTACTGTACATGTACATGCACAGTTATGTTTACGTGTGCCCAGTCATTCATTATTGTGCTGCCTTATTGTAGCATTCTCTGATCATAAAATTTTGATAAATGCTGCACTGGGGGTCTACCGTACTCGTACATCGTTATCAAGACTATGGATGTACATAAATTATAAATGCAAATATTATGCATACAGGTTGCTGCACCAAATCATGTCTTCCACCTCTTGTTCTTGGGAAGCACATTGCATAATTTATAAACGTGTCAAAGAACATCATCCAAGTTAATGCCAGCATACCGGTATGTGCATTGTACATGTACACTTACAAGTTGTTCCCAAACTGTTTGGTGAGTGTAGCCCCCAGGTAGTGCATCAGCTCCGGATCCGACTGCTCATCTCCACAAATGGTGGGACCACATTCCTGACAGCAAACAAGGATTGGAACGAAGTGGCAGTTAAAAAGTGCATACGTGTATGCATGTGCATCAAGGGCAAATGTAAAAAACAAATAAAAATGGACATTTCTATAATGTGCCAGTATCCGCTAAATACTGTAATCAAAAGCAACACAAAAATATCAAACTACGTGTAAACAAAAATAATGTACATGTACATGTAGCCAAAGTTAGGCACAAAACTCTCTTCAAAGCAACTTTAAACTACACGTTCATGTATCAAAAACTGAGAAGGAATATTGAAAGGCAACTAATTCCAAAACTAAGGACCTTTTATCTTAATCCGAACAATACCAAGCCCACATGCCTTCCCACTAGAAACATTTTTTTTATACATAACTTTCAAAATTTCTGTATTTTGAAGCAAAAGTTAGTTGTATTATTATGGGTTTAGATGGAGCCCCGACTGGCTTTTAACCTTTTCTTAAATAACAACGCAAACTTAAACAAGCATGTTTCTTTAATAGCAAACCAAGTGGTAACAAGATTAAAGAAACATTAAAGCTACTTCAGCGGTGGTTAGTTTCTCTTGTTTAAAATATTTTATCAGCATCGCAGCTGTTACTAGTACATGTAGGTCCAGAAAGGCTTTGCACTGGTACTGGTATATATGCATACTATATTTCATTTTCAGAGTTGACCATTAGCCAAAGGAACAATTCTGCTTTCTGTCACGTACAGGTACAGTATGTAAATTGGTTCAGGCAATAAAACAAATTACAGTAAGACCTGCATAAAAAAAAGGCAAATGGGCGGAGTGGAAATGAAGATGTAAGATGAGTTATTGCTATGTTGGTAATCAGGATGAAGTGGCTGAGGGTGAATTGGGTGAAGGCCAAGTGGATGATGGTGGCAATTAGGAGTAAGTAAAAAAGCCCACACCTGCTTGTACATGTCCATGTACCTGTACATGTGTTCTACAGTCTGCATCTGCTCAAGCCTGGCCAGCTGCTACTACCCGCTGCTACATGTAGCTGGTAGATGTACAAACCATGCTAATCTGCTTACAGTAACAGCAGACCAATTAAGTTCTGGTTGCAATGCCCTTTCACTATATGTGTTTCATCTAGCACCAAAAAAACCCCACAAAATGAAGGCCCTTTTGCTTTTTGCTTTCAATATTTCAATTCTGAAACAGGGTTACAGGCAATTGTGTCCTTAACCATTTTACACCTTTCTGACGAAACTGCACAACCACGGGGCCATTTCTTGCTTCAATTTTTATTAAAAAAAGAAAATGTAACACTTTTTTTTGGCACCATTTTCTCATATTCCAATTCTTGGCACAAAAAATGAAAATGAGGGCAAGCACCGTACATTTTCTGAATGGGCCAACTGGCCGTTTGGTCACTCCTTGTGGACAGTGTACCGTATAACAGACATGATAAGCTGTGCACTGCTCATGGTGATGGTACTGGCCTTCCAGACTGTGTCCTGGTACATGTACATGTATGCCCGGTAAGCAGGTAAGGATGGACAGGAGTGGTACCATTTATTGATACGTACATGTACACTCTCAAATTCCATAAACAGACCCCGCTTAACACCCTGTGCATAAACCCTAGATGCAACTGGTCTGAAAAATTCATACTGTCATTGCTAAATTGGATTCTTTAGGACATTTTATTGCTTTCAGATGGCTAGGTGACTGCAGGGAATGTGTTTGTAGCGCTGTATGCAAGGAGGAATTCTTTCCAGGGTATCAATTGTTTCAACATTTTTATTACAATTATGAAGTATTACTGGTAGGCCAAACCAAGGATTCCTCAAAAGTGATAGGCACCGTACACGGAGCTCAAGGAGACAATGGGAAGAAGTTACAGTGTCGGTGGTGCTGGGAAACTTCCTGAGGAATATTTTGGGTAAAATTACCCAATCCACATGTGAACTGGGATTCAAACCCAGGCTGCAGGGGTGAACATGGTGGTGAGTTCGGAAAGAACCGCACCAACACGGAAGAGCACGTTAGGGACTGCCTGGAATATTTCCAAACTACCCGCTACTTGAAAATATAACCCTGAAATCCCTGGTTATGTGAGAAGGCCTACAAGGTGGAAATCTCCATGAAAACAGTGGGACATCTTGCCCTCGTAGCCAGCTAGGAGGTGGATCATACAACAGTACAGGGTGGCAGGGTACCGTATTTGTAATTGAGCTAAAGACTGAAATATCGAAAAGGAAACAAGACACTAAGCAAAAGGGCGGGAAGCTAGACTTCGATGTACGTACACAGACACATATGGGATATTTGACTGGTTATGACTGATACATGTAGATGTAGGACAACAGTGTCAAGAGTGTGTCTTTACATAGGAGGGTTAATAGCCATCAGAAAGCAAATCACGTCCAGAAAAGATCAATTTTGGAGGGAAGATACAAAGTTTTTTACTGAGAAAACACTTACAATTTTCAGACCAGTCTCACAGGATTTGTGTACACATGGTACATCTACATGTATGGTGTAAAGTGGCGTCCGAATATCATGGAACTCCTTCCCAACATGCTCAAAGGGCATTGTGGGTTTTTTTTCAAACAACTGGATGGTCCAGTTGTAGGAATCAAGCAGGTACCTCCATGCAGGTACTACATCATACATGGACGTACATGTACAACCGACATGAATGTATACACGTACATGTACAGTTACATGCACACCTCCCCCACGGTACCTCTTCGGACGCTACGTGTGTGAAAAAAACTGTCTGTCTAGTACTACTGCCACTAATCTCTGCATTGTACTTCTAGTTCTTTAGGCATGGTAGGCTAATCGTAAAACATACATGTAACAAACTTACAAGCCTTATTTGGGTGCTCACAAACACGTACGGCATGGCTAGTCAGTTCATTGACATGAATTAGGTAAACGAAACTCCAAAGGCCCTCTGCGCTGACTGCATGCTTGTGACGAGATGGCACGATACAATTCAGTGGTTTGTAACCTATTCATCAGCCTATAAACAACAAATGCGTAACCAAAAAGGGAACCTGACTATCGCCGATGATATTAGTACATTGTGCTACAAGACGTCCCGTGTGTCGACCGTACATGTACATGTACCTGTGATGTTTTGACAGGTAGTATCAGCATAGTACTCAGCTTCCTGTTTTCTTTCAGAAACTATGTTTTCCAATCTGCATTTCAAAGAGATCTTGCCCGCTCTTGGGGTGGGTATTGCAGTGGGCGTTAGTGGAGCCGTTATGTCCTACCGGCTTCGCTCACAAACCACCCTGACGTCTGTGGGTGCGAGATTGGACAAGCTGGCGGAGGCCATAGCGGGGCTCCAGAGAGAGTGGCGGGAAGTACGAGAGACCCTTAAGGCGCAGGGGGGAACGCTCAAGAGGACCAACTCAGGCTTCATCTCAGTACACGCCAGCAGTGGGGACGAGGATGATGATTTCTTTGAAGAAGCCTACGAAGGGTAAATGATGAAATTAGTCAAATTAATTAGAAAAAAAAAAATAAACAGATCATCCAGACCAGGCATGGCCTGCATCATGTGCATGGCCTGAGCATGCTGTGATGACCGGCCGTGCCAGCAGTTCTGTTTCACAACATTATTTACCATGGCTACCATGCCGGTCAGTCAAATGCCATCTGTCACGTGTCTGTGATCTTGCCATCAGCAGTACCTTGACATGCTGAAGAGGTCAGAACCAAAGATCGTATAGCACCTCGAAGCGGCGCAAGATGGACATAAAACGTTGTAATTGCATGTCCGCCTTTTGAGCAAGCGATACGACTGCGTAATGCACATTAATGCAAAGGCGCAGGCGCGTGCAAAGGTGGCAGGCACGTGCACCTGGTGAGCCTGCGCGTAAGCATTACCGTAAACTACGCTGGCGTATCGCTTGCTCAAATGGCGCCAATGGTAATTACACCCTTTGGGCAGAGTAATCCATCTTGTACCTTCGGCGCTATACGATCTTTGGTCAGAACTCAATCTAGTACAGTAGGCCTACTGATACTTGCATTAGAAGTATTTAAATAGAGGTGTTTAAAATCCTGCATGGTCTGGAAGGTACTGGAGATTTTTCACAAGAAACCTTAATTGAATGAGAGGTCACAGCTACAAATTGTACAAGCATGGCAAGCCAGCCAGTTAAAAAGGGTTTGAATTGCAAGAAGAACTTTATTAGTATATGAGACATGTCAAACCACCTGACTATGGAGCTGATAATAGTCAGACTGGGGTTATTGAGCAGAACAGTCTCCCAGACCAAGTGGTAGAGGACAAATCAATCAACCTGTTCAAAAATTAGCTTGATTCCTACTGGAATAAAAAAGATATCACTTATTATAAGGTCCAGAAGGCTTGAACCTATTCTACTCCCAGTACAGTTCTGTAAGTGTACATGTACATTTTAATTAGTTACCTTTCTTATTTGTGCATCCGGCATACATGTATATCTTAAGAGATTGTTGTGAAAAGTAAAGTCAGTAAACTGGCCTGCAACATGGCAGTCTTGCAATCCCTCTATATGTATTGTACATGTATGTACATATACATATGCGTGTGTCCATGTATAACAGTGTGTCACTGTATTGTGTACTACATGTACATGTAGGTTCACCACACCTCCTGAAGCTCTACTGTACAAGGATGCTGAGGAGTCCGTGGAATTTGAAGGGGAAACCAACCTGGAGCTAGTGGCATTCCTGAGGGAGATTGACAAGTTATTCCTGGGCACAGACGAGGAACAAGAAACTGCACTCAGCAGATTACTGGCCAGAAGGTTACAGGTGCGTGCGCTTCTCCCAAACCCAGTGTCATCCACTCTGTGCTTTCACCTATGCTTTCACCATTTCCTACTGAGCGATAAAAGTGCTATGATGCTTAGATAAGTCTGCTTAGTATGTCAGGGTCTTCATACCTGATGTAGACATTTTTAAATTGATCTCTACAGGACAGAACTACCCAAATCAAACTAACTATTCAAAATGTTTTCAGGGACCAACAAATTTCAAACGTCTTTAAGGTACATGTAACTTTGAGTCCTTTTGGGAGTGGAGCCGTGCCCTCCCTTTTCTGCCCCCCATCCCTGGGGATCTGCCAGTGTCACTAGAGCCAGATGTAATCAGAGGCTTTATTTCATATTTCTAAGCAAGAGGTTATGGCATTTGTTTGCAGTATACTCACAATGTCCACTTCATGTGGCGGCTGGCCAAAGCGCACTTATTGGCATCAGATGTAGCTACAAAGAATGGTGATGACACCAGCAAAAAGAAGCTGATATTTGAAGGTAAGTCACCCTAGGAATTTTCCCCACACTGTCAACTATTTTCTCCCAGATTTTCTTACTTGAAGCAAAGTGGCTTGACTTGAGTCCCGGCTTGAAGTCCAAACTAAACTCAGCCTCAAGACTTATATGTACATACATGTACACGTTGTATGTCTCAAACCTGAATTTGAAACTCTTGAAATGCAAAATGTTTAAATTTTAAATAATTAACCATTATGGCATTGACAAATACCTCCATATTCCCAGTCAATTCTTTGTGTTTGTTGGTTTGAGGGCTCATGCTAAGCCTGGTCTTGAACCTAGTTATTGCTAGTTCGTGCCTGGCACACACTTCAAGCCAGCTTTTTGCTACATCATAATCATCATGGGGTTTTGTCTCCTCAGTTGTTTATTAGACCATTGAGATTCGCGGCTTCTGAGCCACGCATGGAGCTCCTCTTTCTTGAAGAGCATACGCAGAATGTGCATTTTATCCATGCCAACATCATGTGCCAGAGACTTCCACAGGTCTCCTGCAAACTTGTGCTCGGATGAGGTAAAGAGCCACTGTTTTGCTCACTGGAGTTGAGCGTACACACCACATGTACATGTATGTGCAATGTATTTAATGTGTTGTTTGAGGCAGAACTCACTGATATGTGTTGTTTTGCAGATTTTCAGGATCGCGTTGGCATTGTACTCGTAAGCAAACCTCTCCTCGCCATCCTTATCGACCTTCTTACAGGGTCCACCTTTGACAAGCTTTCTGCAGAAATTGACCCACAGGCTATCGAGTCCACCCCATTCGACTGCTCTCAGGTGGTCGGTTTGAACGGCGTAGACAAGCTGGCTTCCAACCATCGCCTCCAGGATCCGGAGTCGCCTCAACACACAAATTGATCTCGTGATCTGTCATGACACTCTCAATCTACCCATGTTGACCATGTGGAACCAATCTGCTGGTTGATATACTGGGGCGTTTTCGGGTCATCTGAAAGCTTGTGACCAAGATATTTGAATGATCAGACATTTCCCTTGTCCACCCCTCCGACTGATATCAGGCTTTTGCTTGTTTTCGTCTCCTCCATTGGTAACATGAACCACATCAAGCCAAAAAGAAGTGCAGAAACATACATACCCGATAGTACATCATACATTTAACAGGTTGATGGGTTAGGGTTTCAACTGGAGTATACACACTTCAATTTAGACCTCACTTGTTCGTTACTCTCCATTTCCATTCTTTCTTATTCTGTTTTTACCACTCCATCTTCACTTTATGTGACTAAATGTCTTTTTCTATGGATTATATTTCCATTTCAGGTAAAGACTACGCATTCACTGCTATTTCCATTGACGAGACTAATGCCGACGCTCACAAGTGGTACAGCCTCCTGATCGGTCTAGCCACAGATTACGTCTCCAACCAAGAGAAGATCAAACTGGGATATGACTTCAAGGTATTGAACCTGTTGCTGCCGTACATTTGATACTTAAGTGTTGTGCATGACCTGATGTTGGAGCCGTAGAAATGGTACATCTAGTTATTGTGTGGCTTGGGGTCAAATGATCTGTCATCTTGACATCAACGCAGTGAGTCGGTAGCTTATCTGGATTTTAAATCGAGGACAACAAAGTGGTGATTTTTCCTGATTTAATACGATTTGGTTTTTTTATCCATAGAAAAACTTTCCCCCTCCCAAGCAATGTGCTGCAGCACCGTTTTAAAAGTATTGGCACTTTCAGTTCCCCTAAACCTTACACGTAGCACTGGCAGATGCAGCAAAGTCAAATAAGATGTAAACGTCTGGTGCATTTAGCTGCATCGGGCAATCAATAGCAGCCGAACAAATTGCTCATACTGAGACAGTAGGAGCTGGTCCCACAGACTTCACGGTCGCGTGGCATTTGGGGAGAGTTGACCATTTTGATCTTGTTTGGCAGGGTTTCTAGCCAAACTACCCTGGATGTTTTGGGTAAACAAAAAAACGAATGATTAATTGGACCTGCCCCATTCACCACTGAAGATGATGCTTCTGAAAATTGCTCATGGAGGAAAAAAATCTTGTTTCCTACCAATGATGTCAAGGACTTGAGCATGTGAAATTTGAAATCACTAAGTACATGTCAGAATTTTTCAATATTTGCTCAATCAGTTTACCTGTATACCAAAACGTTGACTATGTAGTAATACAGTCGCAAGTGGATATCACAATTGATGTGTGATCCTGCAAAATGCCAGAATTTAGAATGATGTAGTGTGATGATTCAGACTACTTCAAACCCCAGCACCGATATTTCCTTTTAGCATGTAAAGTAAGTTTGCATACATCTTTCAGCATGGCTTGACCTGAACAGTTGCTTCGCCCAAATGTAATGCTTTGATCTTTCTTCACGTAGGAACATATGTTGAAGGCATTAGAGTTGCGTCCTGGAGATCCCTATCTGTACAACTATTACGGCAGGTACATTTATGAGGTGAGAGGATAGTCATGTAAAAGGTACCAGAGGCGTATGTAGGCTAGTCTTAAAAGACACCATAACAGGGGTCCCTAGGAAATGAAAAAGGTATAAGTCCTAAAAGCAGAATCCTGGTGGTATTGTTACTTAGATTTATCTCTTGTTGTTTCTCTCCATATTACATACAAACTGTGCTCAACTATTTTAATAGAGTGAATTTTATCAGAGTTTTAAGTGGGGGCTGCTTGTTAACATGTTTTAGGATTAATTTTGTTTGGGCTGCTTTGGCTCTTTCCATTTGTCATGCCAGGTTCTCTGCGTAATTTTGGTGATTTTTACTGATATGTTTCTTGTTTCCGGTACTGTAATTTTTATATTTCATGTAATGTAATTTTAAAAAATATGTCATTTATAATTTCAATTTATTGTAAAAATTGGCTCAATTTAACCTTTGGCTACAAGTCCAGTTTCAAATGAACCAATAATTCAATTTATATTCAGTCCAATTATGACAGTCACTCCGTGTGAAAATGTTATCATGTGGCCTAGGCATGTTATCAAAGGCTGGTAACGGCAGAAAGAACTTGATCATACTGGCATGTTTTGCCTGACTATTGTTTAAAATCAAATCCTAATTTCGCACACATGTTTCTTTGACTTCTTTTCTTCCTGTTATCTCACCCCTGATTGTCAACTGAGTCAGGAGTCACTTAAACATTTCTGGTGACAGGAAAAAGTAGATAGTAGCAATCCGGTCCCTTTACATTGATCGATGCTTGATTTGCCTCCCCGCAACCCAAGATTGCCACGATGAGTTGGATTTTGAGAAAAGCAGCTGCAGCCATCTACGGTGAACCACCATCAGGAACGATAGACGAGGCCCTGGAAAACTTTCTGAAGGCAGAGGAATTACAGCCCGAATTCTTCAGCACAAATGCACTCTATGTGGGAAAGGTGGGGAGTGCATTTCTAACAATGATATCATGATGAGGTGCCATATAACACGAGGCCAAGCTGAGTAGAATGGAACATGCAATCTGTCACGGAAGGAAATTATTCTTTTCATTGCAGCAGCCGATTTCAAAAAAGTTTACGCAATGGCATTACGCCACTTATGCCACATTTTACTGAAGCAAATTAAGAGCAATATTGTGAATTTTATGCACTGTGTAAGTCTGTGACTTATGCAACAAGTGATGGCATAACTTATGCAGTCATTTTAGGTGGCTAAATTGCCCCAAACAAAGCTGAAATGAATAATATGACTAGCTCTTCATGTTCAGTTAAGCCTCATCATAGTAGAACTTAACTAGGCTTATATTGAGTAATCTACAACTTTGTTTTCGAGAGTAATGAAAAACTTGTTTGGCTGTGAGAGAACTGCAAGATTTTTTTTCGACGAAGAGAAAGCCAGAAACTTTTTCTAAATGGTGGGCGGAGGTAATGCAATGATGTTTGATGACTGTTGTGATATTGGAAAGTAACAGCCATACTAAAAGCCATTATTCTCTTCATCCAAAAATTAAATATTAAAACATGGCACAGCTAAGTAACCTTTTGTGAATCGAATGTAAGTACATGTATATTGCGCAGCTATAACACAGATTTGTGGCGCAAGGCTTTGTTCAAAGTTTGTTTCGTGAAATCGACTGCTGGAATGTGAAGCATTCATTGCTTGTCTGAAATTAGATAGCCTTTGTGTACAATTTACAGTTTCACTGAAGACTGTGCCTACCGTGCCCCAGAGAGCCCTGATTGTGCCTATCGCCCATATGGCAAATAGGGGATGAAGCCACTGGCTTCCATATGCTTGTGTTTTATTTGCAGGCGTAGCAAATGAATTCATGCCTCCTGGTGACCCAGGTGCTCTCCGGGTGACCTTGTGGCCAGGCGTTGCAACACCCCGTGGGTTGTGTGCCAAGCCTGCCAGAAATCAGATAATAGACCTGGTCCCAACCTTGTGTTTTCAGGCTAGGACCACGTCTTTGTTGCAAATAAACTGATAAAGGTGAATTCTGATGAGATAAGTAGCCGAAACTGTTTTTGGACAGAGCCTTGTTTTCAGGGAGACACGTCATTTTCTCTTGTTCATCTATCTTTTGTGTGACACAGTGTTACCTTCAGAAGCGAGACACCAAGAATGCCGTGGAGTGGTTCCAGAAAGCAATACGTATTCCTGGGAGCTCAGCTGACGTAAGTGGCTTGCCTGCTAACAGTATTGGGGATTCAAAGTACATAATTTGTCACCAAGTGGTTTGGTTCAGACACGCGACTTACACGTGAACTCTGCAATGAGCCAGTTTTGTCTTTCAAAACGGCAAGGTCCTCCGCGATCAAAGCACAGTGTATGGCCACACTGATAAAGAGCCCACGCACACATATTGCTGTTTCTGAATGGCCTTGGAACACCCAACTTGCTCATTGCATTCCTATGTGCACATATTATCCCGCAGTTCATTATCCGTCATTGTTAATTAGTGGCATTACACAAATCAGGAATCTTGTAAATTAAAGAAAAATGCCAAAAAATTGGCCTTTAATCATTCTTTACCAAAAGATGCAAAAACTGTCTGTTAGCTGTTGCCAGTGTAAAATCAGTATCGTTCAGCAGTGTCTATTTAGGGACATTGCCTTTTTCCCATCATGCACTGTGGCAAAAGCATGGAATAGATTCTTTTAGATGAGACCATCGAACAGAGAGGAATTACTAACCTTGGATCGAAGAAACTAGTGTAAGGTTCTGTTAGTGCTGGCTTAGTACGAAGCTAGGCCACATGGGCTTTTCATTCATAAGGATTATTTCTTATTTACCATTGTGAGCTTTAGGTCTGTGCAAACTTCTTCATTTCCAGGAACTGAAATCCAAAGAAGAGGCTCAACTCTACCTTAGGAAGTACACGTAAAAGAGAGACGAGAAACTACAGCATCATCCAGTAGAAAATGACGAGCGATGAAATCACAATCGGTTCCAGTAATGTCAGTCTGACTCCCTGATGAGTACCAAAACTTCAGTTGCCCATCAACGTAAGATAAATGGTAATCACTTGGACAGCAACACTAATGTCTGCAGTTTGTGTGGGCAATATCTATATTTGGTTAGAGTTGGGTCGAGGAAGCAGATGTTCAGGTAGAATTCCTTTTATCAACTTGGTTTGGAGGCATGGTGTCCAACCTAACATCCGTGACCGTATCCGCTCTGAGCAGAGGCACTCCTCATGGGTTGAAAAGAGCCATGGTAGTCGGGGGTGTTCATTTTGTTGGTAGCGATGGGACTGCAACACTTGTGTTTCATAGTCATCAGTGAACCGGTGATGCGCAGTTTCTACCAAAGGAGCCTCCATTGCTAGGAAACTTGCGCCCTCTCTTGATCCAGCTCAGAACCCATAGTCGCCAGGTCCTTTGTTTCGCCACTTAATGTGAAAACCAATGAGACTTGACAGTAAGTGGCGAAACTAGGGACCTGGCGACAATGTTATTTATACAGTTGAAGAAAACAATTGTAGTCCTGATTTCATGTTTTTTTTATGTTGAAAAGTTTTTTTCATGGGTAAGGTAAAAGACACTTTTTAATGTCTGAGAAATTTGCCAAAAATACAAAACTGAAGTATGTATGTGTTTGTGTTCTTTTTGCAGAAGTCTGTCTTTGTTTTATGATGAAAAGATATCCCATTGGTTTTTTAGTGAAAAATTTGTAAATAAATGATGTTACTTGTCTACGTCATATTTTATCACTGTATCATCAGCAATATCAGATAGGGTCAAATACAGTATTTGATGGTGAGTAGAAGAGGACTCCATTATTTCATTCTGTTGCCTATGCTGTAGATTTCTTCCGATTATGATTCAGAAATTAAAAAGCCTTTTCATATTGACTTTTTAAAAAAACTAGGTATTAAGTTCAGCATTTTGCCAGTCAAACACAATACCTTCTGTTGGTCTCTTCTCTAAAGATTGAATGTAATATCGTGCAATGTATGTTATCCAAAGACACTAGATTATGTTTCAGACTTGTAATTTAATATGCTCTGACGTGTTGATAGAATCCTGATGTGGTTGAGGGGCATCAAGTATGTTTATATTTTAAGGGGTCATTAACAAAAGTGAGCGGTAAAGAAAAGTGGCTAAGGAAAACGATTTTTTTGCAGAGGTGTACATTTTACACTAGGCAGAAACCCATTCAATGTGCAGTGGATTAGGTCACTGACTTTTCATCATAATAGCACCCCGCAGGAAGAATTACAGACACGATGAGGAAGGCTTCAACTATGCTATTCTCTGAATTTCCAGTGAGGTGATGTCTTGTTGGGGCATCTCATAGGAAACTACCATATTCAATTTTTTTTTGTCGGTGCTGAAAGTCCTTTTCCACTCACTACGTGAGTGAGCCCGTTTAAATATTAACTCACATCACAGCAGTCAACAAGTTTGATTTGTATATCGGTATGCCAGAGAATGGCAAAAAGATCAAAGCTGTGACTTATCCCTCCATGAGTGAATCAGCACCCTGCAAGCTTTGATTAGTGTCGGCTTTCCTTACAGAAATAGAAGGTTGGGAAACTGCTACTGCACAGCATATCTGATGTAGAGCACCACAGCAATAAATATCGCATTAAATATTAAACACTCGACACGTGACCATGCTGGACCAATGAAACGACTTGTTTCAGAGGCACGTAGCAGTCTGCATTGAATATCCTGTATCATGCCAACACACGGATAGCCACAGTTATTCCGCTTACATAGTCTGCGCCAAAACGAACTGTTTTACCAAATTGTTAAGACCATTGTAAATATTTGTGCTGTATGATACATGTACATGCATGAGGCTCTGGATGAAAGTCTGCACGTGCGGATGTTTGTGTACATTTGTAAATGACAGTATTTGTACTTTTGCAATTTGTAAATGTAGTTTAATGATTAAAAAAAGACACTTTAAGTATTCAATGAACAATTCCTAAGTGATACATTTGATACAGTGCGCTTCGCAGCTGGTGAAATCTTCAACTGAAATCAATACCATGAAAATGCGACTTCACGATGTGACTTGCTCTGTGAAAATGAGACAGAGGTCGCCAGGGCTACTTTGGAGTGATCTCGTTCCGTGTAAATCAGCAGGAACCCGCATCAGTTTTCACCCACATCATGTCCATTTGTATCAAGATGCCAAACTGAGTGATGGACCAAAACAAAGGGCTGAGTTTGCTCTTCCCAATACAAGGTAGTGCCCAAAGGGATCTGGCAACCGATGACTCATTTTGGTGGACTGAGCCTCTAATAAGTCTCTGTATTGGTATTTGCATGAGCAAATGTATATCAAGTGTAATGACTGGAAAAAAATTCCATCCTCCTCCGTTATACCATGGTTTGCACTGCAGTCTTCCATCACCATAGTAGTGGGATTCCCATGTCCTTAATAAAATAATTACCAAGGTTTATATAATACATGTAATGATAATCAATAAATGGGTCATTTGTACGAACACTTGACTGAGGTCAACTCCTTCAGAGAGTCTTGAGGTGAAAGTATCTTGAGTGTGCACGAATGCATCTAGATTTGGAAGTAAACTATCAACCAGTCCGTGGGTTTCGCTTGTGCCTGTATGTGCACTTCACTGCTCATTTTTCAGATTGAGAATGGAAAAGTAAATGTACACATAAACATGTGGTTCAGGATCCATGTTGAGACACACTGGTCATGCTAGCAGGACAAGGATATGCATAAAATAATCTGGATCGATCTCTCTACAGACACCTGATAAGGCTGTGCCATACCTCAGGTAAATGCAGTGCAGCTTGACAAACAATTATCATTGATTATGTAGTATAATGTAGCACGTCAATCACTGTACCCCGATTTGGACCATGGCCAGCAAGTGTGCATTTTCAAACTCTAAATTCAGCTGACTGAACTGAACGAGAATGGCATGTTCATGGCCTGTGCTAATTCTCCCTCTGAAAACCACGATTGGAACAGTGGCTTTAAGTTAACAATGTCGCTGTTGCTCTAATAGTGTTATAACTTGTGTATGCTAATTAAAAAGTCAGTTGCCAAAGGATGTTTAATGCTGTGGTTCCAAAGTAAGATAACAAGAGCTGTGTTAGGAGTAGCCTAACAGTGTGTGCCAACACGTTGCACACTATGCTTCCTTGCCCGTTATTTCAACTACACATTGAAACATTTGTAATACCAGTATTGGAAACTACAGAAGCAGTAGGTGTACATGTACATGAACTTGTGTGTATTTTTTATTTTTCAAAAGTATTCAGAGAAAATTATGAATATACTAGAAACTCTCTTTCATTCAGTGAAAATGCCAATATAACTACTAGCTTTGCTTGCAGTTTCCTCTGGGGAGAAAAAAACCTATGCAAATTAGAGAGAGCATATTTTCTGCTAAAACTTTAGCCAAATGTTAAAATTGTACAAATTTAATGCCTCCATGGCCATGGTACTTTTCAACTATTCATCATAATCTTATTTATGTAAGTGCTGCAATTTAATAATTGCATTCATCAAGATTGCCTAAAAGTTGTCTATTTTAATGCTCTAACAAATACATGTACAAGTCATATTGCCAACATTGACCACAGCTCTCTAAAAATCTCAGTCTTTCAGTGGAGTCATTGCGAACTGAATTTTTCAATATTCAATTGCAAGTTTTTTGGGGGGGAAGGTTGGTGTTAGTTCAGTATGGGAACACGCTGTTCTGAATGCTTTATGAAGTGTATAAAAATGTTGATAAATTTGGAATTGTATTTAAATGAAATTATTCTTCGATGTACTTTTGATTAAAATTCTACGTTATTTCAGACAGATGGCATTTCGTCTTATGTTCCATCATTTCATCAGATGCCCTTCCCTTAATTACAGGGGAGAGATTTCTCAGAATTTTTCCTGATTTCAGGATTTTTTTTTATCAGATTCTAAAAAATCGTGAGATAACCACCAAGGTGTTTCTACGTGTAAAATCTGATATAGTAAACAAGAAATGGACCAGATGAAATATCACAGACCCTATGTTGCCGTGGGACCCTCAAAACCTCTGGTAATTATTTTGTGGATGTGGTATTTTCCTCCAATCTTATCCCTGTAATTGTTCTTGGTCAAAGATGTTGCAATCTGGTTGGTTATGCATGCACTTGTCCACACTTCTGCATCCACTTCCATCCAACATACAGAGTGTCCAATTCATGATGGTCCTGGTCAAATATGGAAGCATCCACATCTTTTTTTTCTGTTCACGCCAAGATACGAATTCTGAACGTAGACTGTGCCATTCAGAGAAAATGAGTGCAACCCTCTCCCTGTGTTCATGGTGAATAAACCCTTGTGCATGCCAAACAATGCATGTAGCCGTTATTTCCAAGAGTTGACAAAAAATTGGAGAGCATGTTTTCCTTAGAGCTGCTCTGTAAAGTTAGTGGTCGCAAGGAGTGTAGGCCTACAATCCATGGGCTAGGAGGAGGTTCAGTGCATCCTCTCAACACCCAAACCAAAATAGTCACCGATATTTCTGTCATCTTTGGCATGCCCCAAACAATAAAAATCTGTTAGCCCCCCAAAACTGGAATGCACTCTCTCACGATAACACGAAAGTACTTTTCAGAATCTTGGATTAATTGAATTCATGGATCATTTTATTGGCATGATTTTTCTCATTGAAATGCGGATACAAAATATACACATCATATTTGATAGTAAAGGTGAAAGCTTGTGGAGAAAGATATAATGAGGCTTGCATTGCTGTGAGTTGATTCCAAAGCAGTCAAATATAAATATTTTATATTTACAAGAGTGAAGGTGTGCTTTTCATACAATTAAATAACAATTTGGCATCAAAAAAGGTTTCTGACTACTGTTTTCATGGGCTTATGACATACATGCAATTAGAAGTAGTAAAGCAGAATGAAATACGCCCAGCCGCAGCTCAGTATTAGTGTACAGAATTCAGAAGAAAAGATCCGTTCAATTCTAGTGATTCTGTACATGGATGCTGTCTACATTCATTTGCAATTAATGCTATTCTCTATCAATACAATTAACAGCATCATAATCACAATATCAGTCAATTTATGTCTACATTCTATTTGGCAAATACATGTAGCTCCCTAGTTTAAACTTAACCACATCACACACTGCCAGCTATGGCCAAGTTCAAGTGACAACAGTATATAAATGTAGTTACCTATAGTCTGACTAATGTCACTCGAACTGTGGATGGTTGGACTATCTAGTTGACCATTATGGAACTTGACCCTACAGCACGCCTGCATCACCGGTAATCAGTAGACTTTTTGTAACTGAGTACTAAGTGAACTACTGACCTGGACAGAATTGGTTAACTGCTGCACATTCAGCCAGAAGACAAAGGTCATGTTCAGTGAGTAATGCAGGGAGAGTGGCAACCAATGCCAAACAATGAGTGACGGACGATGGGATTCCCAAACGGTTTGAGTATATCCTCCTTTGAGTAGGACAGTACTGCGTATGAGCGCATGAGAGAGAAGCAATAGACCAGCAGTCTGATGAGATGTACGGTCATCTCTTGAACTTTCCTGAGTTTTTACCTAGTTGGCAAGTCTGAGTACTACCTCTCTTACTTGATTACTGAGCCGTGTCCAAATACATGTAGCTGGGCTACGGCTGCTGTTAACACCAGTATCCACAGGAAATGGCTACAGCCACTATTCAGTGGCATCCATGGGAGTATGCAGTATATTAAACTGGGCGCTACCAGATATATGGGCATTTTCTTGGACTTCAAATAGCTGTGCCTGGTTAATTTGTGTACTTAAAACCTCTGACACCGGGTCCACTAATTCAAATACTGACACTGGTACATGTAAACAGCATGCACTGCGTTAATGCCCGCCTGAGAATTAGACCAATCATGCTACAGGGAAGCAGTGTTGTATTCAAGTTCATCCCCAGACCATTACAAGCCAAACTTAGTCACTTCGTCTTCTCCAAAGTCGCTAGCTCCATGTTTTCAAATAAAATGCGACATAAGCATTCTTTTTCCACTGTTCCCCACGTTACTTACGACTAGTCTTGGTAAGTTTCACTTGTGCAAACTGCGTTACCCCCGATCAGGTTTAAGCACAGCTTTTTAAACTTTTTTCTGACACTTTTGTCAAGATTCCTAACAGACTTTCTTAACCCTGAAGTACTATACTGGTTAAACAGAGGCCTGAATGAAAAAGTTCCAGAATGAGTTTGGAAAGGTTCTGAACTCCGTTCTCACCACTGGTGAAGGAGCCGGCCTGGGGGAAAGTCAGTCAGGGGACAGTAGCACTGCACAGAGATGCTGCAGAGGAGGAGGCAGAGCCAGATCTGACACAGGTGTGTGATTTTCACATTATTCATATACTATGCAGAGGGTTCTTTCAGAGAAATAATCCTATGGATATCAAGATAGGACATTCGCACAAGCGATCTCAAAATGAGTGCAATTTTTTCTCTAAATTTTAGGCTTGCAACTGTGTTACTTCAGAAAATGTGAAAAATTCAGACATAAGTAACAAAGTTTTTATCTGTAGTTTTGTAGGTGTGGCTCCTGTTCTTGGATGATTTCACCCTTGAAGCATCATGTGCAGCTGCACTCTTTCCACTTCTTCAGACACTTCAACAACAGTCTCTATTTGGCTTGTTCTGTTCCTAGCTGTCCAGCTACATTTTTGAACGAGATGAGGCCATTGTGCATCACTGGCATGATACCGACCAGGCAGAGTTGCGGAAGGCCAAGCAATACCCTGGTCATGACCTCACCTCCACTTGTGAGTGGACCACGGTGAATGAATTCCACTACAGCACTGCAGGGAAGTAAGAATCGGCAATGTGCAATGCAACACAATGCATCCAATACAATTTCCAATATAGTTTCAGAGTTGTTAACAATGGCTATCTCAACATTTTAGACAGTCCTTTGCCTGCATGTTCCAATTCATAATCATTAAAATACAAAACCTTCAAGTAATTGAAGACCCTGTTGCAACCCTACATGTACATCTGTAGACAGTGAACATTACAAATCAAAGCATTCCAACCAAAAAACAAATGTCCAATCTTACCTTATGTTCCATCACCTACATGTAGATTGACATTTTGCAAGACTAGCATTTTTGTACAAAACACATTTTTTTAAAAGCCCAAATACACAAAACAGCTGCAACCCAAAACTGCTTTAAATAGGGGAGAATGGTGTTATAAAAATCACTCTGGTAATGGACAATCATTCTTTCTACAAATCTGAGCTCATATAGTTAAATTTTTCTGAAATTGGTTCTTGATTATTTTTCTGTTGCTGCCTCCATTGATTCTCCCTCCCCCCGGCGAAGTGTCGCACATTTTTTTGTATATGTATGCCGAGCATCAGTGCCCATGTAAAGTATTTAGCACCGCATGCAAATTGAGTCATTCTTCAGATCTTTTTGAAGCATCATGCCACTGGAATTGAGTGCATTACTCTACCATAGCAGCATGCTTACATGTAAGCAAGGCTATGAAATGCCATGACAGTTGGGGTACATGCATATATGTACAGGTAAATCACTTCTTGTAGATTTGCGTCTTTACCTTGGCAAACAGGGGTATAAATGCAACAGTCACAGGTGCCTGTGACAGACAAAGCAGTGCAGTTTTCACTTTACTGTCTGTGTGACCGAAGTTGCTGCAAAAAAGGTCAGAAATTGATTCCGAAGTTTTTACTAGCTTTTAAAGGGATATACACGTACCCATGACGCACATCGATGCCGGCACTGCATGGTGGCCAGTTTGATTAGGTTTTGGCATGCGGTGTAAGTAGTCAAATACATTACAAGTTGTTCTCAGTCAAATTATAAAAAAAAAAGGGCCATATTTAACAGGGGATGAACAAAGAACACACTTTGTTGTGGGTTTCAGGAATGCACAAGTACATGTACCTAGTAAAGCCTGCCCATAGGGCCGACAATACCAGTTAACCATTACCGGGTGTGCCCATAAGCAAGGGGACATGTACCATATACATGTATGAACATGTTCCGGTAGACTGTTCTAGATCCCTCCACTGGTAATTCTGGAGGCAGGAACTAAGCGGTCTTCCCGGCCTTTCTGCTATTTCTTAGTGAGTGGGCACGGTGTACGTCTGCTCATCACAGCCCGCATGTACATGTACAGTCCACTGGAATAACTTCTCACATGAGAATGACTCGACTTGTGATGGACTTACGAGGACTTGGCAAAAACAAAAGTCCACCTGAAACCTAACAACTATGCAATGAGACTAATATAACCCCAAGACCCTGCAAGATTTTGTATAGAAAACGTCAGCAAAACTACATGATTTTAAAAAGAAAAACTTGCTACGACACAATATTTCTGCCTCACTTCCATGTGCAAGTGCATGTTCAACCCAGCATAATAATGGCAATTTCTTTAAGTACCGGTATTTCATTCTTTTCGTTTCAACTTTCTTCACATAAATATTGAGATCAATACCTCTGACCACAAAAACAGGACGTTACAGTTGTTTCTTCTGCCTGGCTGGAGGATGTGATTAAAGGCACAGTCCCGCATTTGTCATTTGAAATTGAGATCCTAGAACATTGGTTTTCTCAGAATATACATGTACATCATTCACTGAGCTTAAACTTCAAAAGGTTAGTTATAAAGCACCTTTAGATTTGGAACACTATTGTCGCCTCATATGAGCAAATGATGGGCTGTACCTTTAAGATACATTTACATGTAGCTGTTCCATTATGAATTGTGCGGAAACAAAATGCCCAGATTATTTCTCTCTGCCAAGCAAAAGGATAATTGCATCTCCCAATTAGTTGAAACATCCATTTTACCCATGATCTATCGAGATTGTGTTTCTGCCTCTAAGCAAAGTCAACCATCATCATCAAGAATCAAAGAAATCTTTGCACAGTATGCATTTCATTGAAAATCACATTTTCACCCAGATATCAGGGATGTTTGGGTTCCTGTTTGGCAGAATGACAGCCGAGGATGATTCGCTCTGAGGCACAGGCTGGTAGAGCCGGGTGACAAACCCACCGGTTCCCTCCCATATCACCTCCGAATGGGCAGGCCTGCTGGACACAGGGACCAGTGGTCTGTCCGGTCTGGGCCGGGCGGCGTGGTGCGGGCAATGGGGGGCCACTTTGAGGTGGCGGGGGAATTTACTACAAGTGCCCAGAGAGCTGGTGCTGGGCGCAGCAGAGCTCAGATCTGATGCTGCAAAAGAGCTGAGGGGCTCCAGCTCGTGCGACTCGGCTGAGCTGGCCACCTCTGAGGAGTGGGAATGGATGGCCTCCGAATCCTCGGCCGCCCTGACAGTGTTCTTCCTCCGTGCACAGCAGGACTTGCCCAGGAGCGGAAACTGTCCCAGAGACCCTTCGGGGCCGATGGTGCGGCACAGGGACTGGAAGTAGAAGGTGGAGAAGACCCAACTGATGGCCATGATCAGCATCAGGAAGGTGCCCATCTGGGTGTAGGACAGGACGGATGAGGGCATCATCAAGGCGCCAGCCACGAACGTGGTCAGCGCAGCCATGGTGATGGCCGATCCCATGCGACCCAGGGAGAACACCACCCGTGACTCCCTGTCCTTCTCTGGCGCGATACGGTAGGCCACGCCATAGTGGACTGTGAAGTCCACCGACAGCCCAACCGCCACAGACAGGATGACTGACTCAAGGATGTTGAGCTGCCAGCCCAGGAGCACCAGCGCCCCAATGGTGACGCATATGGTGCCAGATATGGAGAGGATGGCATAGAGGCTAATCAGGAAGTTCTGGGTGGTGACGCACATGACGCAAGAGGAGATTATGATGGACATTCCCAGGGCAATGGGTGTCCCGTGGGCTAAGTTGTCCTGGAGATCGTAGAAATCCAGGGAGCTGGTGAACCATCCTTGCCTCATGGCCGGCGGAGCTTCCCTCATTTCCGAGGTCACCCATTCCTCAAATCTAGTCCAAAATGTCTTGATATTTTCAAAAGAGTACGTAAAAGTTTGTGTGCTGTCAAACTCTACAATGGCAGCCACAATTTTGTCTTCAGGGCCACTGAAACGAGGCCCAGGGGTATTCTTCAAGAAGGCCATGGGGTACTTATAATACAGTATACGGACTGCCTCTTTGAGGCATTTCTTAAAGACTTCTTGAGGATATGGGAATGTGCTTTCCTGGCAGCACGGTCTGTGGTCTTCCCCCGTTTCGGGGTCGAGGCAGCTTCTCGTCTGCATCCAAGTCCTAAAGCTCTCTATAAAACAGTTTTTGAATTGCAGCCCTGAGGTTGGAAAGTAGTAAGTGTGGTTGCGCAACCTGGCGCAGAATTTTACAAGCCACTGCTGGGAGTCCGGCAGAGCAACGTCAAATGTCTCATCAAACGTGATGGTGCCCCTGTTGTCCGGATCCAGGGGACTGCCGCTATCTTTGGGCAGGATACCCCAGACAATGGTCAAAGGCAAATGAGCATAACCCTGTGATCCTGTGCTATTGACTTTTTCAAACCAGAACATCTCTTTGTAGACAAAGTCATATCGCTCAAACGGGTGCAAGGAACGAAACAACTGGAACTCTGGTAGAGTTGGTAATTGAAGCTTTGGGTTTAAGAAAATGAGAATGAACCCTCCAAGTGTTAGTGTGCTCAATGTAAGCAGCCACATGTACCGCAGTTTGACCACAACGCAGGGTAAAATCTTGTCAAAGAAGATGCGCGACCACTCGCTGACAGAGTAACTAATTTTGTGCATGCAGCAAATGATACGAGTGTACCACAAATGTTTGCACCTGTACGTTCTGTACTCCCTTGTGTCTCTCCTAAAAGAACAGAAGCTGTCAAAGTAATGGTCGTAAAGTGTGACAATGGCAGGCAACCACGTGACAGTGAAAAAACAGTTGATGAGGATGGTCGTCCCCGCGAAAACGCCAAAGCATTTGATGGAGGTGATACTGCTGATGGTGTTGGCAAAGAAAGCGGACGCCGTGGTCAGGCTGGTGACAAACATGGACACGGCGGCGTGCCGCAGCGTGTCCAAGACCACCAGCACGTGAGGGCTGTTGACGTGGTCTCGGCGAGTGCGCTTCCAGATGTCGCAGTACACGAAGGCGTCATCAGCTCCGATCCCAACCAGAAGAATGACTGTGGTCAGGTTCATGAACGGGAAGAAAGGGATACCAAAGATGACTCGATAGAAGAAGTATGCAAGAATGAGCGACATGGCCATGCTAAGCACTGTCATGACAGTGATGAACAATGATCCAATGTACATCCACATCAGCAGGATGATGATGACCACTCCCAAACATGGATACAGTGCCTCAGCTGTTAGATACTCCTCAAAGAGATCATATTTCAGGTTGAAGAACAATCCCGAGACACGCACTTCCGAGTCCTCCACGTCCTTGTCTCGAAAGTTGTCCTCGTAGATTGGCCGCAGGTCGTTGCCAGCATGCACAGGGAGGATAACCATGGCATTGCGCACATGCACATTGTTGGGCTTCTCCACGCTCAGGAACTCCACGTCGGCCAGGTAGTGCAAGACGGAGTAGACGGCGTCCTGGCGGATGCAGTCCCGGTGGATGTTGGATGGGCAGGGCCGCCAGTCCCGCGCCTCCCAGCAGTCTGGCCGCAGGCTCCGGCTGCGGTAGAAGTGGGCGCACTTCTGCAGAAGCTCCCGGGTAGCCGCTACATCGTCTGCCGTGATCTCGGCGCAGCTGGACCGGTTGCTCAGCAGCGCCACATAGTTGCCCAGCGACCAGCTGCGGCAGCAGTCCCCAGCCCGGTTTGTGTAGCAGCTCCTCATAAACTGCAGATGTTGGCGGACACTGCCTTTTTCCAGCTGGCACATTGACTGCAGGCCCCGTAAGGTGAACAGATTACTGGAGTGGACAGGTTCAAACACTATCCGGGCATACTCCCTGGCTGTAAAGGATAAACAAAGTAATTGGATTGAGTAGATCAATTACAACCTTGAGCAGATGAGAACTCTAACACTGAGCTGCTGGACCTTGTCTTATTAACCCTAATTGCAGTGGGTATGTGCAAAATTATATTAAAATTGGAAGATTCAGGACTGTTAGGGTTAGATCCCCATCAACAGACTTCCTAAGCACCTCATTAAATTTAACCATTCACAAATACCCCATACAGACAGTCTCCCTATCAACAATGTGCAACTTGGCCATGTACATGTATTAACATTTGATAATGCCTGCTGAGAAGAGATAATGCCCACTGCGTAAATCATGCAGTGGCACCTGGATATGGGACAGTTTAACTGATTCTGATTGGTCAAATGTCTGTATGCACGCGGCTCGCCATGCGCGTGCCCAATCCTGATAAGGAGATTCTTTTGGACAAATTGTACAAGGATTGTACCATAAAATGGACAGGGGTTTAGGGGGAAATGAAAGTAAATTGGGAAAATGAAAGTACATTTGTAAATTGCACAACAAAATCGTTGAAAATCTATCTTTTTCACTCTCTGACTAAAAAAGGTACTTATGAATGGGAATGAATATGTGACTAAAAAAGGTACTTATGAATGGGAATGAATATGTGCCTTGCCGGTCTAAAACTAACATTTAACATTGGCTCAGGAGACTGAACACAGATAATTCAGCTCGGGTGTTAGCCGTGTCCTTTCTCCTCAGCCGGTCTTAAACCCACCAGCCAAGCACATTAATGTTGCATATGCATCGGTGTTGAAGTAAAGTCAGACATAAAAATTCACTCAAATTATGTAGAGTTGTACGCTATCAATATTGTCTATGACAAAGGCAAGCTATTGTCACACTTCATGCCCTGTTACTTGTAACCAGACGTGTGTGTTTTGATTTGACTTTTGATGGACTCAAAGTTCTATTAAAACCACAGATACACAAAAGTATCAGATGAACATGTAGGAAAGACACTGAAGACAAATACAAAAGAAAAAACTAAGGAAAAAAAGGACTATAACTCACAGGGGTTGAAGCAGAAGAATGACTCATTCACGTCCTCGTATCCACTCGCCAATTCCCCATCGTACAGCTCCTGCCATTCACTGGAGCTGCTGCTGTCGCTGTCGTCCACCCCAGAGGCTGCACCCCCAAGCCCATCTCCCACTGAGGAACTCTCCGCAGTGCCCGGTGTGACCGGCAGTGAGGTCGTGGAAACAGAGGCGATAGTGGACACGTTAGGCAGGGTGGAGGGTGGCAGCAGCAGGGGAGGACCCTCTGTCCGGCTGCTGGGATGGCGGCCGCCATGCGCCGGGTAGACAGAGAGAAGCTGACTGGCCCCGGTTTGGTCCAGTATGTTCTGCCATGTGACAGACCGCTGACTTATGGTTGTACCCCGTGGTTCGAAACCCTGAAGAAAAATAAATGAATAAAAGGAAAAGTTTTAACATGACTGTAGAGCCCGCATACACACGTACACGTATATCATGCATATACCTGTATGTCACGTACATGTATATTATAACCCAGTGTATTCACTGTGCAAAGGGTAGTACAGAGTAGTCATCAATACGCCAGTTCAGTTTTTGGTCTTTCAGGAACAAAGCGCTCATGTGAGTCAGCATATGGCTGTGCTGATAGGACAGACTATCACGTGCACACATAACTGTTCCCAAATAGCCTTTGGGCATGCGCTGTTGGTATACCAAACTGACTCAATGAGCAGTTGTTTAATGACACATCCTGGTACCCGGTAATCTGGAAATGAGAACGCTTTGCTATTGCAAAATAACAAGAACGTTTCTATCACAATATATGGACTTAACTCTCAACCAACTTAGACAAAAACAAGACCAATTTACATGTAAGCACCTCAAAAACAAATCTATGGACAACAAATTTGCTGTGCAATAACATCAATAACTGAAAAATTGCACTTAAATCTAAAAACTGAGCAGCGTCATTGGAAAAAAACAGCACAGCACATCAAGTTCATATACATGTATGAAATGAATAGTATGGTACCAATGTGTACATGGCAGATACATGTACATGTAATTACGATACAGTAAACACGTCGTCCAGCATGCTATTCTATGCCCATGGTACTTTAATACACATGTACATGTACATGTACGTACTGCATCACAATAAGGTAGCGCACTAGTACTGTCTTACACAATTCAGAAGGAATTCTATTCAACTAAATCCCCATGGTGGAGCGATGGCTTGTCTCATAAGTTTCTTTAGTGGCCCGATATGCCAGTACAAACACAGCACTCTTTGTCAATCTTTGTCAGTTTCAGCGCTGCTTTCAGTTCAGAATATTTCTGTCTCCAGGGACCAGTTGTCATGTACCGGTATACACAGAGTGACACCACTGACTGGGGCAAACATACGTAGTTCCATCATCCTCATGCAGTCCCCGCTTGCAAATTGCATGAACATTCTTACTGTGCCCTGTTAAGAGACAAAATTACGAAGCCAAAAGAAATGGCACTGCTGCAGAATTGCCAGCCTCATCAGTAATGATCTCATTCAATAGACACATACGTACATGTACATTGTAGGATTCCTTTTTTATTAAACTGCTACAAAGGTTACAGTACATCCTTCCAAAGATTTCTAGACTTTTAAATGAAGAATTTTGTAGAATCAAAGGGCTGCCTTTCAGAGACATGCAAAGTGTTTATTTCTCCCCCATATTTGTATGTATTACTTGCATTATACCGTACATGTACATGTGTACTGCCTGCAGTAGTTCACACATGTCCATCATTTAATGAAATATTCCGACAACAGGAATGTATTACAAGTGTACTGATATCTGTCGACAAAGAAATGTTTGCATTTGTGATAACTGAGGAAGCAGGGCTAGCAGACAGTTGAGGTTTGTTACACAAGTGGTCTGGTTAAATCCAGTATATAAAAGTTTCAACACATTAAAACATGTACATGTATAAATGGTTTACATTAAAAATTCCCCATAACAATACAAAAAAACTTCCTGTTTTCCTCGCAGAAACCGACAACCTACAGTAAAGTGCATGTTTTTGATGCCCTTGCACCCTTTGTGCACGAACACACTCAGTGTGTACTCCCATCCACCCGGCCCCGTGGAACCAAAGCAAACACCCCCCTCCCCCAAATGCTATGATTGTTCCTGACAGGATGGTCTGACATTCTCCCCCCCCAAAAAAAAAACACCTTGATCAACACTGACATCCAAAATCCCACATATTGGCAATATGCCAAAAAATGGACAGTGATAAACACAATTCAGAGGTTCTTCCCCCAGTTTTGTTCTGTCTCTGTTGTCGAGTTTGGAATGGGATGGCCTACATGTTACAGCACCTTCTGGCTCCGGCTGAGAGGAGATAAACTGGATTGGACGTCACCCCCTGAAGGCATTGAAATTGTTTTTCTCCCTCTGTGTCTTTCTCTCTAAGAGTGGTTAGTGTGGTTGCCTGGCAACACTTCAGTAAACTTCTTCCTTCCCATATAACCTTGCCTAAGGTCCTCTGAACTGTTGACAACACACTTTTTTGAGTTTGATTTTGGTGGTTTGAAGACTGGAAACATACCTATTTTAATAGCACCGGATATGAACCCCCTTGGAATATTAACTTGAGGAAATTGTGCAGTTTGTTTATTCAGCTCTCCTTCAACTAACGAGGGAGGGCCGAGTGCCATGGTAAAGCACTAGCTATGATTGGTTGTTCACGTCACCATGCAACAAGATAAGTGTGTGTCCAGACAGCATGCTATTTACACTGAACAAAAATATGTCTTTTGAAAGATGAAAACAATACTTTGGTGTGTAATTCCGTAGTGAGCAATGTTGAGTATAAACAGGAGCTTAGATTTAGGTACTCTGAACAAAATCAGGTTATTTTCTTAGTGTTTCTGAGGTTTAGAGTTACATGTACAGCTACATGTAGCTGAAGCATCAAGTGACTCAAGATTTAGCGATTTTTGGGAAGGATCTGTCTTAATACCCAAGGCTCCAGTTGGATTTGATTTCATGTTGCTAAGATTTTATACATGTTTGGCACTATGCCAGCCCAGCCACGCCATAGCATGCTATGCTCAAATCAAATTTTTATTTGTGCAGACAGGTAAGGTGACTAATTCTTTTGACGGCCAAAGAAAATAAAATGGGAGGGGGAACTAGCATGGGTTAAAGTGGCAGCTCAGTTTACCAGCACATTAGGTAACATGTACATGTACACATCTGAGCAAAGATTACTGTTTCTACTCTAGTTCAGATCTCACTTTCCAACCCCAAGACCTTAATGACCTCTTGGTTCGTTCCTGATCAAAAAACCCAAACCTTTATTTTTTTCTTGAAATAATCCCTCTCTCATGGGTTCCTTATTCCGTTCCAGATACATCCAAGCCTCAGGAAGAGAAGGGAAGGAAGCAACTACTCATTTCCTGAAAGGTTTGGCCAAGGTGTGCACTCGTGCAACCAGGAAACCCGAGGGGAAATTCCCTCAGTCCACGCAGAATGTATGGATTTAGAGTGAGAGACAGGAGGAGCAAGTTGTGCATGCAAGAGGGCTGAAGATAGCAACATGGTTCCTACCTGTGTATCCACAGGCAAGTGAGAACACTCACGAGTGTCTACATGTATAAAACTCATCACAGCTCATACATGTACACACACTGTTCGGGGGTTTGAAGGGTTCTTTGCAAGTCTTTGGTCCCCTCTCAAAGTGCCCTTTTTTTGGCTCCCTTGCATGTAAGTATCCAAAATAACAGCCTCAATAAATGTCACACAATGCTCATAGCTGTTGGGAAAATCTGGGAAGCATTATTCAACCTGCAAGCAAAGGCTATGTACATGTACATGTACATCACCCAGCAAGGTACAGTACATGCAGGTACATGCATAGCTGTCAACCGTGCACCATTACATATGTTTGCAGTCCTTTTTCCAGCAGGGAAGCTTTTTGCAAACGTTGTATTCACGCACCTGTTACCGGTTTGTAACAATTTGGCTGAGAACTGACACCCTGCAAACTGATAACCCATAAACGGCTGGAGGGGTTCATTTCTGCATTATTTTTTACCAAACTGGAGATTTTCTTCTCTTTTCCATTTTTCACTTTTTTTTAATACTCTTTTTTAATTACTCCTTTTATCCAGTGAGATGAGTGTCCCACTGAGCCCTCCTTCCCCTAGGATGCCCATGCCCATATGACATTCATTATTCCAATATATGATCTCACACAAGCATGTCAGATTTCAAAAGATATCAACCACCAATCAAGTTTTCCAACAACATTCATGATTGCAGCATAGAGACTTAGAAAACCCAAGGAAAAGGATTAACAAACATATTAACAAATTCAAGCAGAAATATGGCAGCAGTACTGTAAAGATTGCAAAATGCCGACAGTGCTGTGAGAAATTGCACGCATGAGAAAAACCCAAATTCAAATCACAGAAGACCAAGCTGTGAGACAGAGTCCAAGTTCTGCGTCTATGTTGTCTTGCTTCCAAGACCTTCCTATAGTTTATTCAGCAACACAACGCATCACCAGATGAATCACTATTCAGACCAATTGCTATCACAGGCTGGTATAGGCTGGTACCCATCAAAAGAGGGCGCTGTCACAATGAATCACACTGCACGCATGTATCAGATCGCAGCACCACTACAGCTGTCTTGGACCTAAGACCAGTGTGCAACTCAAAACTTGACCAGCTCCCAGCCCCCTGATATTGAACAAACAGGTGTGAAGCACTTAAGATCCACCTTTTCCAACAGTCGTGTGGAATCAGGTGCCTGTACCAAGACTGGATACTCACTTTTGATTTCAAGCTGGACATACCCCACCCACCCGCCAGAGTAAATATTTACCCTAGGCCTGACGAATTAATCTGAGGGGAAGTGGAAAAAAAATCTTGATATGGGATGAAAAGCCAACCCGGAAAACATTGTCACTGACGTCAGGCATGCACCTCGGCGAGAAAGTTTGATTGATCTGCCAACATATGTGTCCAAGTCCCCAGGTGCAATAATATCTCAATTACTCATCCGTCTCAACCGAGGATCCAATTATGAAGGGACCTTTCCAGATGTGCCAACAACAGTAACAAGTCTCATTTAAAGGGTGGATAATTGAAGTTTGGCCACGTATGATGCACCAACCAAGTCCTTATCATAGAATTTTTTTGAGGGAAACTTGATAGCAATTCCTCACATCTGTAGGTTGTGGCTTGAATAATGCAGCCTGCAAATTCCAATTCCTATGCAGATACACATATTCAAGTGTCTTGCAAATACCATCAAGACCTCACATGCAGTTAGCCCCTCTCCCCCACGCACTGCCCACGTACTCTAAATTTCCAAAGCCTGACAAGGCACATCCAGCGAACGATTAAAAGTCCATTTGAGCAATC